GGCCCGTACACCTCCAGGTGACCAGCTGCGCTTGGGTGCCCGATGGCTGCCAGCTATTTACGGGAAGCAAGTGTGGAGTCATCACCGCCTACAGCAACCGCTTCACAAGCGCCACGGTAGGTATCCATGGCGACGTCTCCCTCTAAGCCCTCCGCCTCCACATTACAACATCACAGGTGCCCCTCCTCTTCATCTTTCTCTTCTTTTTAGCGCCATGCGGCGCTCATACGCTCAGTCTCATTAGTCACATCACAGTTGCCCTTAAAACACATTTCCAGAGCCTACAAGTGGGATTAAAGGGTTCAAACGTGGATTCTTGTTTCCCCCTCTTTCTGATTTGTCGTTTTAAGACACTCCATGCCATCGGTGGGCAAATTATGGCCCGGGGGATTTATGCGGCCATCTCCGTTTTTTTAATCCAGCCAATAGAGCAGGAGTGTCAAACTCATTTTTATCGCGGGCCACATTGTAGTTACGGTTTGCCTTGGAGGGCCGTTATAAATTTTGGGAAACCATATAAATGTTTAATCACCTCCACATATTACATACACAGCGCATAACAAATTGATGGTTAACTAGTTTAAAATCAGAAGTCAAGAATAATGACTGTTATTGTGGATTACATGTGACAATTTGAAATTTTGGTTCAGACTTTAGCAAGCATCATGGAACTTGACATGCTTGATTTGCTTTCGCGGGCCACATAAAATGATGTGGCCGGCCAGATCTGGCCCCCGGGTCTTGACTTTGACACCTGTGCAATAGACCATTGACATTACCAAGAGACTTTTAAGATTTGTTGTATTAATTTAGGTGGGTGTTTTTTTTTCCTCTAAAATGGGTAGTTAAAAAGCATTTTATGCGTAATATGCCCAATGTGAGCATTGATTGTCTCTAATGTGTCTCTGTCGCTGAGCAGTCGGAGATGGAGGTGGAGTCTCAGGTTCACCTTTATGGACACACGGGGGAAGTCACCAGCCTTTTTGTTTGCAAACCTTACAGCATCATCATCAGCGTCAGTACAGACGGCACCTGCATCCTCTGGGATCTCAACAGGTCAGCATGGTGCTGATCAAGGCCTAGGCATGCCTCTTTTGTTGTATGTGTGTGATAAATCAGATCATGTTTCATTGTGTTGTGTTCCAGGCTCTGTTACGTGCAAAGCCTCACTGGCCATAAAAGCCCAGTGACGGCTGTTTCTGCCAGTGAGACCACAGGCGACATTGCTACAGTTTGTGACTCCGGTGAGGCATCAAATAGCGAGCTTCCACAGGTTGGACAATTGAAGCTGGGTCCTTTTAGAACCACTAGACTTGTTTGAGATACACAGGATCATCACGTTGCTATGGAGTTCTGTTTCTACGACAGCGACGCAACTTGAAGTCACTGTCACAGTTTGATTTTTTTTTTTGTTGCTGTAAAAGTAATGTTCTCTCTGCTGCTTGTGTGTGTTCAGTGGGCGGAGGCAGTGACCTTCGCCTGTGGACCGTTAACGGAGACCTTGTCGGTCACGTGCACTGCAGAGAGATCATTTGCTCCGTAGCGTTCTCCAATCAGCCGGAGGGTGTATCGGTCAACGTCATTGCTGGCGGGCTAGAAAATGGCGTTGTCAGGTGAGGTTTCTTTAGATTTTGTTTTTTTTTTTAATGTGTTTCATATTGTACAGACACTATCCCACTTACGAATATGAGAACATTCGACCCTGCAAACACTGTCTTGTTAGTTTGAATATTGATTGCAACACTTTGGGAAGTCCCAATTTTGAGTTGTGTGCCTTCAGTTTCGTACAATGTTTTGCTGCAACCTCTGCCGGGCGGCACCAAGGTCTAGTTTGACACATTCTTGCCATGTCATCTTCCATGCGTATGGTGAGGTCGCAGACAGTCAAAACCTGACTGGTGTGTTCGGAGCTGTTCAGACTGAGACACATCCTGCCCAAATCTAATATGAAACTACCTTTCGAATTTGGCTTCAACCTGTCTTGCAAAAAAAATCCAATTTTATTGTAAAACCTAATAAAAGACAATACTTTTATAGTATAATTAAATCAACTTTATTCCTTTAGCAGTTCCGTAACAACTGCAGTTGTAACAAATAAATGTAGCTGTAATTAAGAGTAGTCGCAAAATAATAATAATAATGAATATTAATTATCTCTTATTATTATTACAAATAGCACTAATTAAGCTGCAATACCACACAAACTGTAGTACATTTGCGGTGATGTGTGCCTTGAAGGGGCGTGGCCTAGTGACATTAGGTGCTGTCTTTAGTCAGGCTGGTCCGTTACCGTGTGGAATAGTTCCGTTTTAGCTTCTTTTCCTTGGTCGTTGCAAGTGCTTTCATTTTGTAGTTGTGTGGCTGTGGCGAAGGATAGGATCACGATATAGCAGAAAAACACTGTAGTGACAATAGAAATATGGCAAAACAACAACTTACAACGTTTGAAAACGCAAACACCTTCGAACGTAATTTGTTTGTGTGTGTGGGGTCATGTCTTTACTCACTTTCATCGTATGTGTTTAGACTTTGGAGCACGTGGGACTTGAAACCAGTGAGAGAGATCACCTTTCCCAAGTCCTGCAAGCCCATCATCAGGTAGCGTGTTACGCAGCCTTGCGCTTCATAGAAATCTCCCCAAAGATTTGCTGTGACAAGCAACTTGTTTCTGTGTGCCTCAGCCTAACATATTCTTGTGACGGCCACCACCTGTACACAGCCAATAGCGAGGGCACTGTCATGGCCTGGTGTCGGCGGGACCAGCAGCGCATGAAGCTGCCCATGTTCTACTCTTTCTTAAGCAGCTACGCCGCAGGCTGAGTGTGCGTGTGAGTGTGTGCCCGCGCACAGTTGAGAGATGGTTACTGCCTTGCAGGTGAATCCTCACTTCCACCTCAGCAAGAGAAGCTGCTTCTCACTCCTCCTCCCCCCATGGAGAGAAAATAATGACAGCCGCCACACCCTGCTGGACTTTTAAGTTGAGCCCCCCCCCCCACACACACACATTTCCAAGGGGGGGGGGGTCGTCTTGGCTGCAATAGACACTTTATTTTTCGCATCATCTGTTATTTTCCTTGTCTGCTGTTCATTTTTCCCTGTTAAAGCTGCTAGCTTGGCTAAAAAGCCAATTATTGTCCTCCAGGCTTGCGACGTGTCTCAATGAACAAGAAAGGACGGGCCACCGTGTTACTACTGCATGCCACAATGACGCTTGACTGTGCGGAGGTGACACGCTCCTTGAAATTGACCTTTTTATTCGTTGTGGAATGTTGATATCGCTTTTATTTATTGGAAATTGTCTGCAGGCCAGCGTACTACATGCAACCTCTAACGACGCCTTTAACAGCATAGACATCTTTCCCTCCTGAATCTGAGCCTTTTTTTTTTTTAAACCTTCACATAGGAGTGAATTGTCATCTCCCTCCCGATCCTCCTATCTGCTCTCGAACAGGTGACCAAATGTCTCCCTCCTTTCATGCAGCTATATTATTTGACATTCCCTCACTACTTTTTGCTGCACTTTTACTTTGTCCGTCATCGTGGTCGAAATAGCAGTCACGGCACTTTCTGCTTGCCCAACCATTGTTTGACTTCATGTCAAGCCAATCATCTGTTTCATCTGCAGAGAGCAATATCAGATTACATGCAATAGGTCCTCATTTTTATTATTGTAACTTTTGACTTTTGAGCCTGCTGCGACGATGTCTTGCTTTTCACTCTTCTATACAAGAAAGGGAATATTTGTTTATGAAGTCTTTTCTCCTTGTAATGTTACTCTTAATGTGTTTCCTCCTTATTTGTGCCACCACTGCATAGGACCACCCTTTGTTTACTTTCTCCTTGAATGTACATTTATTTTCATGATGAAAAGTTTTACGAGAATGTGTGACAGGAAAGCTGGATGGATGATCTAAACTTTTTTTTTGTGTGTGCGCTGAAACAGACAAAGTATTTTTCTCTCGATAAACTTGAGCTATGCATAAATGAAGTTGCCTGGATGGTGTTGGATGTCATTGACCTCACTGGCCTGATTGTGCAGTTTCAACTGTGTTTGAAAGGTCATGTTTTATTTTGTATGTTTATGAGAGATTCCACACACGTCTACTTTTCCCCGGAGGTTTTATATATTTATTTATTTATTTTTTTAAGAATTATTACACCACCTTGTCCTATGTCTTACTTTCTTGCTGCATCTTAGGGTGTCAGGCTCAATTGCTTCAGGGTCTGACATTTAAAAGGCAGTCAAAGTTGCTGGTGAAGCAGGATCAACATTTTTTTTGAGCAGTCGAGTACAGCCAATGCTTTAGTAGTGTAGTGGTACATAACTCTGCCTATCATGAAGAGGGTGTAGGTTTGATCTTTTGACCATTTCCTCAACTCAACTGTATTTATAGAGCACTTTAAAACAGCCATCGCTGTATACAAAGTGCTGTACCTGGAGCAAATATAATTTATACAATATATAAGATAACTTGTGGAATATTCAAAATCCATGTTACAGTAATAGGACTGAGTGAAAACCCAGGAACGCTACCTAAAAGGAAGTCTCATTTTTCCCACTTAAAAATTGTGCATTATTTGAACAGGAAAATTATATCTTGAGGGGGGGGGGAAATCCGCACACATAAATAATAGGACTCATTAAGATGCGCTAAATATATTCAGAAAACCGCTTCAATTGGTGGTGAATTTTTGTGCTCAAATCATTTTTACATACAAACCTGCCAATATTATGTCCCTTTAAGTTTGAATCATCTCTCATTATAGTCATTTTAATGTCAAATTTTAGGAAGTTATGGTGCAATCAGATTAATATGCAAGACACTGCTTCAAGAAATGTATTTTACATCTAAGTTCCTGGGGACGCAAATGGCACCGATTCGGTAGAATGCCCCATATACAGTACAGTAATGGTTAATTACAGTAGCGAAGTCATATTGTACTTCGTTGCTTCCACCCCCTGAAGACAATTGTATTGGCTGCATGTTTGAGGTTGACATTTAAAATGTGTGTACATTTCCCGTTGTTCCCATGAGGAGGAGGGCGGAGACCTAATATCAAATCTCAAGTAAAGGAGAACAAATTGGGGAAGCCTGCAGCTGCTTTTCATGTCTAGTGCTGCGACGAGGATCCATCGTTGGTGCGTTCAGGGTCAGCGTCCACTGTGGGAGAACGCGCACCCCTTAGCTCCTGCCTCACACGGCACCGTGAGTCTCGTCGTCGTCACACGGCGGTGTCCCCCCTTTCGCTAGCATCTCTCCGAGCCCCAGCCGCGGTACTCCTCATTTTTTTTCCTTCCTCCTTCCTCCTTCCTCGCACGACTCACGTCACGCAGCGGATCTGCCGAGGCCACGTAGCCGCGTTCCTTCGGCGGGATCCACCGCGACGAGGCTGGACAGGTTGCTTCTAGCTTTTGACATTTGACAGATCCTCTTTGTGTGTGAGTGAGTGTGACTGCGTGTGCGTGTGTGCCTGTGTGAGTGGTGTGTGCGTGTGTTTTGGGTGGAGTCAACCCGGAATTCTCCAATTTGGAAAAAAACACGATCAGGTAAGCCTCTACATCACTGATATTGGGGCAGCATGTCCATTTTTCTCTTGCTGTTTTCTCTCCAGACAGGCCTTGCCCCTCGAGTCTATCGAAATGCCGCTCATGTTTGCGGTGTTCTGTTTTGAAATAAACGACACGGTTATCATTAATAGGGAAGGGGGAGGAAGAAGGGAAGCCTCAGTGGGGAAAGGCCCAGAACAGAGAGCTTTGGGATTGATTTAGGGGTGAAAAATAAAAAAAAAAATAAATCAAAGCACCATTTTGAGTCTGCGGGTGCGATCATCATGACCAAAAATTAACATATGAATGTATTAAACAGCACCGCGCCCATGATTATAAAAGGTATTTGTGATCAGGTGTCATTTCCTGTGGATGGTGTTGCCCACGACGTCATAATTTGGGGTGGGGTGGTAAGGAGTGTGGTGGTGGTGGTGGTGGGACGCGGGGGCGAGGGGGGGGGGGGTCTGTAAAAGGAGCAAGACGATGCAATAATTTCATACTTTCTCAAACAGAACTACACATGGAGTGGCCAGAAAATTTCTACAAACCACTGTTAAAATGCAAAGTATTGTGATGTAAAAATAAATAAATAAAATAAATTGAGGCGAAGGTAAATAATTTCAAAACTTTTTCCCACTTTTAATGGCACCCGACAAATCACATTCAAATTCATGTTGAATGGGGTCATCACACCCGTCACTTCTTTGGAGTGCCTCTCATTATCTCCAAATGAAATGAAAGCTGTTCTAGTATGCTTTTCCTGCCATTTTTTTCCCACGGCACCAGCGAAGGTGCGCAAACATTTCAATGTCATTGTTCAAAGGTATCAGTCAGGAAATTGATGCAAACTAATTTTCAAGGCATTAACTTTACCATGAGGTGGCACGGTAGTCGACCGGTTAGCACGTCCAAAGACGGCACTTACTTGGCTCCATCCATAGCACTGCCAATCCCATCTTGAGTGGTGACAACCACACCAAGTATTGTCATAGACAACATTCATATTAAATATACAAAGACGTCTCCTTGAGTATGTCGACGCCGCAGCCGTATTGGATGTGGCAAAGTGAAGCTAATTGTGATTATGCTTCCTCCTTGGAGGAAAGCATGTGCGAATACAGAACATATGCTGTCCAGTGTAAAGCCATGAACATTTGACTGCGTAGCAAGGCATAGAAGTTACATCAATGGTTCTGACGCTGTTGGAGCAGCCTGTGCTGATAATAGGAAAGTCTGCTGCTTTGTAGCCTGCTGGGCCACAACAGTATTTAGCGCTTCGGTGTTAAGTGGCCCACTGCTGTATCCATGCAGTGACAATATGAACTGGTGGTCGTAGATAGGTTCAGCATTGTTCCGCTGAGGTGATGTAAAAGAGTTCGCTGGTTTAGATGCCGTGTTTAATCCAAGTTTGATGCAACTATTGTGAGCCAAAGCAGACATGGGCGCCGCCATTTTATCTAGTCCCTCTCACTACTTTCAATCACACACCTATCACTGCTGCTGTTAGATTTGTGATGGGATGAGAACAATGGGGGTCGTTTTTTTTTAATTGATTCAGGTGATTGTGGCTGTGTCCAAATTCACAGACTGCATCCACTTTGCTGGCTGCCTGATGTCATATTGGGCGCAACTTGACCGCACGTGGTTTTCCAAAATATAGAAACACAATTCGCAGGCTAGGTCCTCCAATGCCTCGGTACAAATGGACTGTCTGCCCATGGCTCAAACATAATTTTTTTTGTAAAGTGCTAATTGTTACACTTACCCAATCCTCTGTTTTGAAGGGGTGACACAATGAAAGATAGCATCGCCAACAACAGCACAGCAAGCATCTCCCAAGCCAGGAAAGCCGTGGAGCAGCTCAAGATGGAGGCCTGCATGGATAGGATAAAGGTATGTCACTTTAAGTGTGTTTGTCTTCTTTTCTCATGTCATGTTTGACACTGGACCACATGAAATATGTATTTGTGTGCTTCATGAATGTAGCTAAACTGTTTATCGGCTTGAATAGTGGTCGTGATTTTGGATTGCGAAACTTTGCTGAATGTAGCCTAGGCTACCATAGCCTTTCAAAAATTGTGTGACAATTACAGTATTTCTTTTGGTGGGAGCACATTTTCAATTATTTTGAAGTTAAAAAAATTAAAAAATATATATTTTGTTTGGTACCTATTTCCAAAAGCGGTCTGTAATTGAGCCGTTCTACATTCTGCCCCACTGCGGGGTATTTTTTAAATAATCACCAACCCCCAAACTACGGCCTAAGGGTGAGAAGAGCTGTGTGGAGTTTTGTTGAATGTGCACTTTAGCGTAAACGGCCAGCGTTATCTTAAATTACACATACTGGATTGGCCACTCAACTTGTTGACGTAGAAATGGGTTGAAGGGGTTATTTGAGTTTGGTGATGTGTCCACTTGAACGCACCGACATACAAGTCCTGCATCCATGAGTGAAAATTCAAATGCTGTTTTTGTCGGGAACTATTGTGCGCGGCACAGTTCAGTCTCTATTTTAGACTCGGGGCTCAGCATGCACTGTGCGTACTCGTCATGGTAACGAAATAGGCCCTCGGCATTATGTATGTGGGGCGGGATTTGTAATGGGTAGTCTGGGCAATCTAAATGAAAATGCGTTTCAGATATATGTAAGACACCTGAGAACAGTTTTGAATTGTAAAAAAAAAAAAATACAGAATATGTCTCCTTTAAGACCATGTTAACGATTGATGTTTGAGCCCTTGGTGGTTTCAATCATCCCAGAGACAAATCCTTTTCAAATGCTTATGATAACCATGGCCATAAAGAAAAAAAAATCCTGTGGTATTGTTTTTAATTTTGTGGAGTGTGATGGAGAGACTTTAAAGTTTGCGTCATGAAGTCGTTCATTATGCCCGCCACGTGCTCTGAGAAAGATTTCCCCACAGTGGAAGAGAGTTTGCTCACATCAGCATGGCAGACAAGGCTGGAAGACCGCCACCTAGCTCCATCGCTGCTCGTCGTTCTTGATCCATGCTCAGCGCTACTAAAGCTGCTTGCCAGCAAGAAAATCCTCCCTGCATAAAAATATCCTGTTTGCCTCTCTTATCCAGCGTATCATAAAACTTGGAAAAAAACATGTTGCTGTATTTATTCAGTTTGGAGTTTTACTCAACACTCGACGTTAAAAGATGCAATTCTAATTTCCATTCATTGTCATGTGACCTGTGAGCAGTAGTGGGAAGTAATGGATTACAATACTTTGTGACTGTACCTCAATAGATTGTTATGGTATCTGTATATTACCTGATCATTTATTGTTCTGACCACTGACCATTTGTACTTGTGTATTTAGTATAGATCACGGTCCTTCCTTTTTCTCACTGATGTGGTGGAGTACAATCCGTATTTCTACTTTTACCAGACTTTGTACTCAATCACAATAGTGAGACAAGTTGATGACATGTAGTCGTAATTGACCCAAGTTACTGCTGATTTAATGCAACTTTAACTAACTCAACAACTCACTTCGACTTGGTTTTCTAAGTGGATGTCTGGCGGGATACACTGTTGTTGTCCACAACCTGTGGCAGTGGCTGGGCATCGTGCAAGGCTCGCCTGACACATTTAAGCCCCCCGTTTGAACAAAAACATTCTCTGTGATATAAGACGAGTGATTCTTAGTGTTGTACGTTTCCTTCTCTGGTGTGTGAAAGAGGCACTGCCTAAGTACACTTTAGCTTGATATAACTTTCACTACATTTGAATTTCATCTCTGAGAACTCTGGTTTTAAACTTTTTAAATAATGTGCTACACCAGTGACTCTCAAACTTTTCACACAAAGTATCAACTACAAAAATGCTTGGTTCACCTACCACAATAATGAACCAAATTGAAATACAGTAGCATAATTGGCCTAAGTGTTCATCAAAAATGAGACCATGTTTGATTCCTCGAAAGCACAGGTGTCAAAGTCAAGGCCCGGGGGCCGCAAAAGCAGCTCAAACAAGGCAACTTCCATGATCCTTTCTAAAATTTCTACCGAAATTTTTAATTCTCATATGTAAGAAATAAGAGATACTGTATGTTCTAAGCATTTTCTTGTTATCAAACCCCTCATGACAGTTAACTTAAACAATAATTGAATCAACAGTTATTCTTGACTTCTTAATATGGTTTCAGTCATAATGGCCCTCCAAGTGAAATGGTATCTAAAATGTGACCCGCGCCAAAAATGAGTTTGACACCTCTGCTCTAATGTATATTTAATTGCTTTTAAATTAAATGTAAGTGGCTCAGGAGCTTCTCTGCTTAAGCTGCTCCCCATACGACCCAGCTTTGGATAAATGGAAGAGAATAAATAATCCATCCATTTTCAGCAGCACTTATTTGCACTTGTTTGCGAGTGAGCGAGACCTGATGCAAAAATGGAAAGAAAAACCGTGCCTTAATACCGATTCAATTAAAATGTGTTACGCATACATTTGAATAATATTGTACCATCACAAAAATATTGTATATTAATTATTTTTTTTTACAAATAAAACTTTTTTTAATGAACACTTATGCGACTATATTTTAACGTTGGTCATGATGGCATACTTGGAAAGCTAAGGTTTGTTTTTTTTTACGCGGTACTTGCTGTTAAACATTTGAGAACCACAGAGACAAACACAAATAATGCATTTTTATACAGTAGAATACAAGTACGGGTCATTTAACAAGTGTTCTCATTCCCTGAGGTTTCTAATGGGAGGAAAATAAATTACACAATTTCTGACGATGGGCTATTTTCGGTTGCATCGCATCTCCACTTTGTATTTTTGTCATCTAATAGCTTGTGAAGTGGAGGGCATGCATGAATAAAGAGCCTAGGCAGAGCAGGAAGCATTGTTGGCGATGTCTGCTGGTTTCTTTCGATTTAATTAAGGAACGTGACGAACTGGCGTGCGTATCAGTGACAAGAGCGGGCGCCTCATTGAGGGACCTTCTCATTAATCGCTCAATCAGCCAAAGGAACGTGAACTGTGTTAATTAGAAGGACACTTCCTGCATCGCGGGGCCGCAGTGTAATTACCAGCCAGTCTGGACCTTAAACACGCACGCACACACACACACACACACACACACACACACACACACACACACACACACACACACACACACACACACACACACACACTCTTCTCTTTCTCAGCAAAAAAAAAAAAAAAAACCTTCCTAAATTTGCGCTATAATTCACTTTGACTATCAAAGTAATTCTGCACTTTATTTACAGCGTAATGAAAGTCTATAATATTCCCTCTTTATAGAGGCAGGATACTACCACGATAACTAAATTAGGTCATCTTGGGCAGTGTTTCCTAACCGTTACTGAGCCAAGGCACATTTTTTACTGCCAGTCGCAGGGCACATAGGAAGAAAAAAAACGTTCTCACTCACATTCTCATCTCTGAGCTATTTAGAGGATTCAGTAAATCTAACATCCATGTTTTTTGGATTATGGCAGGAAGCCGGAGTGGAGAAAACCAACACAAGCACAGGAAGAATTTATACAGTCTTAAAACGGGATTTAAACTCAGATCCTCCAAACTGTGAGGAAGATGTTCTCACCACTCGTTTGTTGTGTTTGCACACGTCTGTTAAAAGTGAGAGAGAAACAAAAACATACAGTGTGCGTATCATATGTTCCCCAATATTAACTTTAAAATTGCACAACTTTATTCTCGTCAAATTATGTTTTTTTGGAATGCTCAGCCTATATTCTCATATAATCACAGATTAAAAAAAATTCTCGCCATTGAAGGTAACATTTATTTGCAAATTCTAAACATGTTTTTCTTGTCATATAACTTTGTTCTCATAAAAACATGACTTTTCATGCGACATTAATCCTGCATTCTCATGTATGCACTTGTTTCTTTGAATTATGCTTTGAAACTTTATTCTTGAAGAACTGTGAATTTAGTCATATTACAACTTTATACTCCTTATTTTTCATGTAATATTGCTTCTTCATGTATTGTTACAGATTTCCTCTCATAATGTTGTGACTTCATTTACCATATTTTCTGCACTATATAGTGCTTCGGATTATAAGGCGGATCTTCAGTAAATGTATTGTATTTTCATATATAGGGCGCACTGCATTATAAGGTGCATAGAATAAACCAGTACGCTACAATAGTGGCTGCGGTTGCGCTATGCATCCACTAGATGGTACTACGCTACAGGAATACAATACAAAAATAATACAATGCAGCTTTATTTATACTGAGCCTTCACAACCGCTACAGCTGCAACAAAGCCTTTAGAACTGGTCACAAACACGGACATGAAATATATAAATACACATGCATTACAAAACAATAAATGAAAAACAAAATTTATGAAAACAATTGATTCAACAAAAATGCACACAAACCCCATGGGGCCACATCCACAAGTGGTTAAACATCCTTGGAAGTTTTGCTTGTCTCCTTCTTCCTTCGTTTTGTCAGTAGTGAACTATGCTTTTGGTATTATATTCGTTTCAGAATGGCTGCGCAGAGCTCACAAAGTAGTTGTCTGTTTGAATGTGTGTTGGCGAATGCACATGTCAATTAGTGTTGGGCAGGACCCTTGTCGGATGCAATTGGTTCCTGCTAATAATCCCCACTAGATATCATAGGACCAACCTGAACACATAATAAAGATTAGCAGCAACATGACGTTACCATCACCCTGGCCAAGTTGTGATTGTAAAGGTGAAATATTGTTGCTTTTAAGTCCATAAGATATTACAATGCCGTATAGCACAAGCTTCCCTATTATCCTGAATAGGGCAGTAAGGTTGTAAACACTCTGATTAGTTGACATTTAATAGCTGTATTGATCGTCCTCTCTGCTGTGTCTCAAAGAAGGGGGAAAAAAAAATCCCAGTCACGCTCACAGTTTGTGCAAATTGTTTTGGAAAGTTGTGACTTGTCACGTCCAGCAAAGAAAATGTCACCTGTTCTCTGCAGTAGGGAGCCGAGGGTGTGTTGCGATGACATATCGACTTCTCATCTCGCTCTGAGTCAGTGCAAAAGTCAGAGGAGCTCGAGAGCAGAGGTGGCGTTTCAGCCGCATAAATAAGAGCAAAAATGAATTGACAAGAAGGGAGCTTGTTGCGGGAAAATGGATTTAATGGTGCTGCTTTCAGTGTGTTATTCTGTATTACAGACTATTCGTTCCTAGATGAGGTATTGGACAAAGTGTGGCAGTTTTCACATGCGTCCAGGAGAAGCCACAACATTAAGTACGCATGCATAATTTAAAGCAGTGATTGCCAACCACTGTGCACCACAAATAATGCATCTTGGTTCATCTGTCTATGCCAGCAACATGTAGTGAGACACAAAATAATTAAATGCTCTTCCACTAGGTGGAAGAAGGTACACAAGTACAGTAATCTATTTTTTAGGGCTGAACAATTAAGCAGATTCAAATGGTGTTGTAGAAGACTGCAAATTCTGTGGGAAAAAAAATCGTTCAGTCCGTTGGATTTATGTGTACCTAGTTTATTTATTTGTATAGTGTCTCAATAACTTCAGGGCTTTAAAAAAATGCAGGCGAAGGGCCCCATTTTCATTCTCCGGACAAGTCTACCACAAAGCACAGTCTAACTGAGCGCATGGATAGAGTTTTCCTTCGTCTGAAATTTTGCTGGACGTTGCACAGGTAGTCTTTGGCGTAACATGGCATTTGCACTCTTGTTCACCATTGTTGGATGGAACGTAGCCAGTCCGAGCAGCATCCTTCATTGGGATCAAAAGCAGGGTAGTTTCAGCGCATGTAGTGTTTGACATTGCAGAAGCAAAAATTGACACGCAGGAGTCCGTGCATGACATTGGCACGTGAACTGAAAGATCTCCCCTTGCGGATGATGTCGCTAGCCATGTGTGTGACATGGGTCTTTGGAAACCAGACCGACTTGCACTTGCACGACTGTGGGTCGATGAGTGACCACTCCTCCCTGACAGGTGTGCTATTCAAATATTTTTTAAGATCATAATGATTATAATTTGCTCAATGAATTGATCTCTACAGTGATTCAGAGGGGCATATTAAATCACAATCACAATATTGAGGGAAAAGAATTGCAATTATATTATTTTTCAAAATCTTTCAGCCTTAGAGTCCATCCACTTTTTGTGCCATTTTTGTTTGATGATGAGACTTGATATTTTTGTATCAAATATTCTGCCTTTTACACCTATAATAATGCTCAGTTTTGAATGACGCCGTATGAGTTGTATTAATTTAGCAGTGTGATTTTTTTTATTGTGTTGCCGTTTTTGTTGGTGTCGAACTGCACTGCACTGTAATGAGAGGGTCAAAATATTAGAAACAGGTGTCACCTATTTAATGTTACATAGTGTGAAATTAATTCGTCACATTGCTTTCTTTAATAAACGATTTCATTGGATATCATTCGATGTGAACGAAGACAATTTCCCAGTTGGTGCTGTAGCTCCTCCTCAAAAATATAGAAACACCATCATCTTGTGTGATGGTACAAATAGTGGCGCAGGAATAATCTGTGTAGAAGCGCGCGCACAGAGCGCTTATGTGGTTTGCATGAGTTGCATGGAGCCCATCAGACAGGACATTAGATGTGTGTGTCCTCCATGTGGATGTCGGAGCCTTCCTCATCTCGCTGATGCAGCTGCTCCTCTTTGCCGACCCCCTCCAGAACGTGCCACTCAGATCGGCAGTGGAAACCTGCATGTGCATCCACTCTCTGCACGCTGCCGCTTTCTAATGTTGGGTCACTTTTCCATGGGGATGCAATGCAACGCCTCAGGGCCAGACGTGTGTTTTGATCCAAATAACGCACCAAAGAACCTGTGGTTAGAGGACACCACGTTTGTTACACACTCTGCACAATTGACTTTAAAGGTCCCTTGCCGCACGTATTTATTATTTATTTATTTCATCGTTTATTTATTTATCATCTTTGACGTCCTTTCCTCTGGCGTTCAAGATAATTTGGGTTAAAAATGCCCATGTTGCCATTTTTAAGCTATTTTCGTCTTTAACGCCTGGCGTGTAAGACAGTTGAATTTCTGATGAATATTCCATATGTAAATGAGCTTTCCTCTGACTGGTAGTTGCCAATATGTCAACGTCTTGTGGCCGCCATGTCTCGGCATTGGTGGAATCATGGCCGGCCACGGTGCACTCAAGCGGCCATGGCAAATGGAAAATTTTGCCTCTACCCCCGAGCTGCCACTTTTACCTCCACGGCGACGCCAGGCCAGAATACCCACTAGCCTCACATTCAGTCGATGTTCACCACACAGAGACTATGAAAAAGAACGACAACAGTATGCCATGCGCTTTCATCTGTGTCTGCCTAAAAATATCCATATTTCGAAGAAACAGTATAAGAAGGTGCAAAATGTAATGATCCGGGGAATAAAAACAGCCAGTCAACCATAATTAATAGAGGTGTAAAAAAAAAAAAAGGGTTTGAACAGTATGTTAGTGTAAACCATGCATCAAATCGAATCGTTCCACTTTGAAATATATTGCCGTTGTTTTTGTGTTTTATTGTGCTGACTGTTTTTATGTTGTGAATTTATTATTTTAACTGTCTTTGGTATTATATGTCAGATTTTTACTTGATGCACAGCACTTTGTATGCAGCTATGGTTGTTTTTAAGATGCTCTATAAATAAAGTTGAATTGAACTACCATTTTGTCCTTTTTCCTTCCTTCCTCGCTTCTTGAGCCGGGATTCGAACCCAGAGCTATGAGTCAGACATATGAACCGTTCATCTCTTTATAATATGAATCACTCATTCATCCATCCATCCATCTTCTGATCCGCTTAATCCTCACAAGGGTCGAGGGGCGTGCTGGAGCCTATCCCAGTTGTCTTGGGGCAGTAGGCGGGGGACACCCTGAACCGGTTGCCAGTCAATCGCAGGGCACACAGAGACGCACAACCATTCGCGCTCACACTCACACCTTGGGACAATTTTGAGTGTTCAATCAGCCTGCCATGCATGTTTTTGGAGTGTGGGAAGAAACCCGAGTACCCGGAGAAAACCCACGTAGGCACGGGGAGAACATGCAAACTCCAAACAGGAAAGCCAGAACTGGAATCGAACCCGGTACCTCTGCACTGTGAGGTCGATGCGCTCAGCACTGGCACACCGAGCCACCATAATATACTGTAAATCAGTTTTACTTAATCCATGTTGGTCACATTGTTTAAAAGAAAACTCTTACATCTCTATACACTGCTTGACCTATCAGTCAGCCACACTTTATGACAGATGGACGTCAAGTGTGTCCCATGGCGGGAGGTTTGTGGTATATCAGCCTAGGCATCGGAGAAGTTGTACCCAACACGCTCCTATCTCTTTTCACCTTTCATGCACCCTGTGACAACAGAACTGATTTGAACTCGAAACCATGCGTTTCAAATTGTAAACATCAAGTTGCACTTCAGATGAATGCCACGGTGGTTTCACTTTTTTTCAGTGTTCGTTCTTATCTTTGTGTGCGGTATCAACAGGTGTCCAAAGCCGCCGCAGACCTGTTGGCTTACTGCGACGCCCACATACGCGAGGACCCTCTCATTGTGCCCGTGCCGGCCTCCGAGAACCCATTCCGGGAGAAGAAGTTCTTCTGCGCCATCCTCTGATGAGCCGCATGCCAAGCGCCGCGGGCTACGGGCGCGGCGTCGCCTGCCTTCTTTGTCTTCACCACACCTGAAGCGACTTGCCACGGGCGTCCACTCCGGTTTAGCCGGGTGGACCCTGGTGTCGGTCGGCTCCGTCCTGACGGCTGAGGGGATTCTACAGGGGGGGCAGTCTTGTTCAATAGGTTTGTTATTGCTTTGTTATTAGAGAACAGCCTTGCTCAGTGCTTTCATGCGGTGAGAGTTTTTTCTTTGTTTGTTTGTTTGTTGTGAGAGTTTTTTCTTTGTTTGTTTGTTTGTTTGTTTGTTTGTTTGTTTGTTTGTTTGTTTTTTCTAAAGATCCTTTTCTTTCACTGCGCTCGATCCGAAATTCCCTCAGGAAACAAAAGTGTGCCCAGTCAACATCTTTTCACCTTCCATCGTCTTGAAACGTCAGTGCCTTTCAGTGTGCGAGCTTCAAAGTATCTGCTGCAGCATGCACTGAAAGCACCAGTAAAACATGACACCTGGCTCATTTCACTAATGAATTGTTAGCCGAGAGCCCTGAACAGCCATCTACTGCATAGTGTGCAGAGTAAAGTGTTTTGGTGAGAAGCAAGCGAGCAGGCAAGCAAGCTAATCTGTTTGTTCAAGCGACACAACTTGATCACTGTGCAAGCCTTTTAGTCCAAATGAAGTAATAAACCTTCCCTACCACGCCCTGATGTGTTTTACCTTTGCTTTTTTTTTTCCTTCCATTGATGCTTCAATCCGTCTTTCATCACATCGTGCAGCTTCCAATTGGAATACTTTCCAGTTGCGAGTTGCGGGATGTCAAGTGTTTCCTGGGCACGTTTCCTGGCTCTTTGTTTTACCGTTTCAGAGTGAACAGCCAGGCCTTTTGACATTAAAGCCAAAACGGAGGCCTGCATGTTCCTCTGCTCCCCTATTGACCGCCGCCTCTGCTTACGAGCGGCTGTCGGTCTTTTTCCGGTGTACAGTAACGTTTCGGTGCCAATCCTTGTGAGAGCAGTGTTATCATCACACTGCGCACTTTCTTCTTGTTTGTTTGGTTGATTTGGAAGAAAAAGCACACCGTCTCCTTGACATGGTATATAAATAGCATTTACAAATTTTTATGATGAATTGTCAATGATTGTTTATTATTATTGTTATTATCAGTCGTATTATTGAATATTTGTTGCACAGCACTGACTGCTACATGATGTGTTGTGTGCTACTAGGCTTGTATGATACCTACGGTTGTTCATTATTTACAAAACATACAGTTATTCCTAATATGTGAGTATTTTTAAAATAGATAAGACAAAGGGTGTTAAATCTGTGAAATGTGAGGTACTTTCCTCTTGGTACTTGAAGAGTCGTCGTATTACTGATCCAATTTACAGGAATGATGAAACCATCGAATCCGCTGTTTTCAGGAGAATCATTTCTAGATTATTATTCTTTATCTATGAAATCCTGAGACTAGTCTCGGGGTGTCTTCACTGACCTGAGGATTGTGCCAAATTTTCGACAATAAACACAATGGCGAAGGATGAATTTTGCATGGTTTTATCCAAACGAGAGAGAACTGTTATGATGTGAAAGATTGCCTCTCTGCTGACTTTCCAGGAGGCTGCTCTGCAAATGTAATCACACCTGAGGTCTGATATGTTGACAATGTGCAGCTGTATTCTTAAATAGTATTATTGTTTTTGTAAAAAGAAAAAGAATGCATTTAATTCGGAAGCTTTGTAAATCCTTTGATGGATGAATTAATTAAAGACGTATATCAAATGGGACTCATGCATTTTTTTTTAATGGCCACAAGTGGGCCACTCAATTGATTACAGAAAGACAAATTCCATCCATAAGACTTTTTTAATATTCCTGAATTTGCATGTCTAACCCTAATAAGGATAACAAGTTAAAAATGGATGACCTTTTCATGTGATTGATTCTGGGTCTGGGGAAGCAATTTTAGTATAGAATGAAATTAGGAATTAAGATTGTGTCAATCTGTCAATCAAGCTCCCCGCGTCTTATTTGCACACAGCAAAAGGATGATAACTTGTTAATGACAGACATGAGCGGAAAAAAAAACACTCTTGTGGATGAAACATTTCCCCCAAAGAATTTATAGCTTGCTGATGTCAGCGATAACGTCCTGATTTGTTTCCACTATTTCTGTCATTCTCGTGGCATGTGGATTTATTATCTCGGAAGTCACAAGAGTTTTATCAAGAGCTGCTGTTCATTGTGACAGCGCAGATTCATTCAACCATGGAATCGCCAATGTTGAACGCATGCTATTGCTCAAGCTCCCATTTATTCAGTTTTTGAAAATATAGGAAATATTTACATTCATCTTCTACAGTCCGGCTGCTGCCTCCTTAAACATTTTTAGTACTGAAAAAGGTTAACCGTCAGAGGAAAATAGAATAACATGGTCACCTTGTGATTATGAAATGTAAACTTGGAGCAGTGAGAGACTCCTGTGTCCACCTAGGAGGAGGCTGTCTTGACATACAAAGAAACGGCAAGACATGTTCCCGGATGATGTCGTGCATGGCAATAAGTACACTTTCAAAGTTTCGTAAAACTTTCGAGCCACATTTTTCTCACTGATTTTACCCCTTTCGGGGACAGCGGTTACCACAGTGGACAGGTTACAGGTCATCATTATTTGTGCATAAAAGTGTTAATTCCATACTGTGAGGAACAGAATGTGGATTCGATTTTCTTTGAATGAGAACAATGAACACTATTGGCGTTTTGTTTGTACGCACTTCAAATTATATATTTTTACCATGAGATGGGCCTTGTCACTTGTACAGCATTTCAGAAACTGAACTCAGATCCCGAATAATATGAGCTATGTCTCAGCCAAAATGTGATTTTTTTTTCATAGATATAATCAGCATGACTATATTTCAGCAGGAAAATACAAAGAGTCAAAGGTGGGACCACTATCAACAAAAATGCAGAATGAATGATCTTTGTCAAGAAAACTGTGCAGCAGAGAGAAGATGAGTCATGTTAATGTTTATATTTCTGAATTAATGTTTATATTTATGAATATGAGCACGATTACACAATGCACAGGAAAGTAATCATCTCCAGGGCAGTCGGTTCTCACAGTTAGAATTGGTGCCAGCTCATTATTGTTGGACTTGTGCAGCAAGCCCTCAAAGTGTATTCAAATTCTATGAAATAGTGATGTTTTCTGATAAGATTAATCATATAGGCTTCCTGCAGGGTGTTTTCAATTTCGCCATTGAGATCAGATAAGAGAAGCTCCCCGCCTGCATTTCACATTACATGAGTGCCGTTCTCTTGAAAATAACATTTGCGCCTCAAATCAAGTCAACGAAGAGCATAGCAGTGTGGAGGCCGTCGTTCGTGGTGGCCCTCACCGCCACTACTGGACAACAGCTGTCAGACAGTCAGATATTTGTTTCAAACATCCCTGTCTACACACGTTCCGTTGAACTGATTTATCTGCAACATTCTGCGCCCATCCTTTTGAAAGTGTTAACTTGACATGGGGGTTTTCACAAGGAGGAATTGATTAATTTACATGGGGTTCATTCTGCACAAATATTGCCCTAAACGTTGAATACATAATAGAAGACATAACACGAAACAAAAAAGTAATTTTGTGTGGTATCATTTTTAATTATCATTCAAAGATGATTTTTATATTACTGTAATCAGTTCACACTGTTAGCAAAGCTATGGGAACACGTTTTTTGACACCTTAGTAGCCATTTCTAGGTAGTGTGGTGTTTAATTTTAAAAATATAATAATTTAATACAATTATTTTAATATGTTACTGGAATTAATATATTAGTTTGTAATAATGCTGTTGCTTTGACAACCTAACCAAGGATTCCCAACCATGTGTGCCGGGCACATTCGTGTGCCACGAGAGCTCTAACGGTGTGCCGCGGGAACTTATCAGCTTTAACTTAATTGGTGACAAAATATATTAATAACAAATACAGTAATGTATCTGTCCATCTATCTATGGGGGCAACTTATGTTGACAGAAAGAACAAATAAATGATCTATTACATTGCAAAAAGTTGACATATGTATCCTCAATTTGTGAACATTTTGTTTGGTGGTGTGCCGTGCGATTTTTCGAAGTTAAAAAAAAGTTCCTTGGCTCAAAAAAGGTTGGGAATTACGTTCTAACGCCATTTTTTATTTATTGCAACGTACGCAACTTCACTGTAAACTACAAGTTCCAGAATGCACCTCGGCAAAGCTCTTCGTTACCCATTGGCGCAGCTCTCGTAGCGTCGGAGGCGGACGTGAGGCGGTGCTGAGAACTATTCCGAGTGAGAGCTGCAGAACTCAAATGAACCTTCCATTCCGAGCCGTCTTCAGTGCGCGCAGTGTCGCCCGGGAAAAGCCTCCTCTCCGCTTCAGCTCGACGCCACTTCGGGCGAATGAAGCATTCCGTCCATGCGGAGACTAGCTCTGGTTCTTCTGCCCTGTGCTCTCGCCGTACTGGTGCACTTGTGGTTGGCTCAGAAACGGTGCTCCACGCCGCTGGAAGACGACGACAAACACTCGGGTACTTTGACGCTTGACGGTGGGGCTTCACTCCCTCGGAGCCCGGCAAGTTTTTGGACTCAGTCGCGCGTTTGAGAACTTTGCTCTCGCCGACTCGCTTCGTCGGTTATTGTTGTTATTGTTGTTGTTGGTGGTTTGTGTCGTTAAAAAGAGACACGGACTTTACGCATCTGGTATATGCTTAAGCTTACATCATAGTGCGTGTTTTAGTTGCAAGTTGCAAAAATGTGACATCTGCGCGATGGTGGGGCGTTGCTAGGTGGTGTACGAGAGCTCAGCATCTCTCGCTTCCTGTCAAATCATTCCAGTACTTACTCCAAATTCTGACTGATGAATTCTAGTTTCTCTGTCGGCAAACTGTTCGTCCTTGCATGTGTTTTGTCCAATGCAGATGGGGCGGTACCGTCCTATGAAGTTCTGGTGGGAGTTTTATCAGCCAGGCAGCATTCGAAACTGCGACAAGCCATAAGGGACACCTGGCTGGGCTATTTGCACCAGCACCCTCACTTCAAGCAGAGGTCAGTAAGGTCCAGCTCCATCTTGTGTTTTTATTTTCTCCCAGGCTGGATTCCTAAAGTGAAAACAACGCCTGAAGCAGCTGGAAAAAAAAATATAACCAAACTTAGTGTATTTTCATTACATGACCAGCTGGCAATATTGTATACATCCGCCACCCCTCTGAAACCAAGATCATAAATGCAGCATGATGACCCTTGGGGCAACCCGTTAGTAACCATGGTAACTGGGAGTGGACTGATTAGCAAGCTTTTGGAAAACAATTGCATGTCTTTGTTTCCAGAGTGGGGGTGAAGTTTATCGTGGGTAAACATGGGTGTCCCATCCCAGAGGAGGACAGAGAAGATCCTTACTCCTGCTCACTACTCAACATCACCGAGCCAGGTAACAGAAATACTCCATCAACACAAATTTGTAGCTTTAAATGCATCGGCGCTGAGGGTGCAATCTATTACTTGCACGTCCAATTGTCAGTATTGAGCGGTGACTTGAGTTAGAAAGAAGCAGACTGAATGTGCGTTCTGAACAGATGCAAAACATCTTTTATTCCACCTCGCAGCTCAAGGTCACTTTTACTTTTCCTCTGCCTAGCAGTAGTGAAAGAATGAAATCCACGGTCAATGTCACTGCTGAGGCTGCGTCTGTGACGTACAATGTGAAGCATGAGAAAACATCTTGTGAAATCATTGAACAAGCTCAGCATCAGTTGGATGGTAATTGTTTATGTCTCTCAGCTTCTGTGCTGCACACCACTGCTTGGCTTCATGAAAACACGATTATGGCTAATCAGAATAGACTTTGTCGGCCTCGTGGGCCAAGGCGGTAACGTCTCATTTGTCCACACCTTTTCCCCAGCCGTGTTAATATCTGTAAGCACCATCGGATTCTATGCTTTGATGCTCGGACGCGCACGCCTAAAGGACATTGCTCGGTTTGTAAATTCACTTCGATATACAGATCAGTAAGCAGACTCATAAAAGCTGATTGAAGATGTCTGTTTGTACTCCATTAATCACGAGGATTTTGGTCATATAACTATCCGATTTGCACGGGTTGTACTGCTAGGGAAGAGACACGGCGGCAAGAACATTTACAGTCATGGCTTTTCATCCACATAGTATAAAGGTAAAGTTTGTAGAGCCCAAACATTCAGAAAGCCTGCAAATTAAATGGGGGGGGGGGTTAAAAAGCATCTTATGCAGGAGCATCAGTGTGATCATTCTAGAATGGGACATACCTTCTTAAGGAACGGACTGAACCTGGGGGGAGTGCATGGAGAACTCTAAGGAGAAAAAGAACCGTACTATGGCTCAATGGTCCAAAGTCCTCAATTTTGCATGACATCTGGGAATCAAGGACCCAGATTCTGGAGGAAGAGTAGAGTGGCAGGCACATAATCCAAGTTGCTTCGAGTTAAATGTTCCTCTGTCAGTGATAGTTGGAGTGCCATATCATCTACAGCTGTTGGGCCTCCCAATTTTCCGAAGGACATAATTAAGACAATATGTTTTAGAGCACTTTGGGCTGACAAGATGCTGGGGTCATACACCAGCAGAACTTGGCACCTGCTCCGACCGTCAGAAACACCCAAAGCTGGTTAAAATAACCATGACCATAGATCACAGGTGTCAAAGTCAAGGCCCAGGGGCCAGATCTGGCCCGCCACATCATTTTATGTGGCCCACGAAAGCAATTCAAACATGGCAAATTCCATGAAGCTTGCCAAAATATGTACCAAAATTTCAAATTCTCATATGTAATAAATGAGAGAGACGTTGTAAGCATTGTTTTGTTGCCAACCACCTCATTACAATCACTTAAACAATGGCTCCATAAACTATTATTCTTGACTTCTTTATATGATTTCAATCATAATGGCCCTCCAGGCAAAATGGTACCTAAGATGTGGCCCGCGACGAAAATGACTTTGACGCCCCTGCCATAGATCATTTGATTGATTGGCCAGCAAACTCACCAGATCTGAACCCCATTGACAATTTATGGGGTTTTGCCAGGCGGAAGCTGTAAAACACCAACGCCTTTGCCGCTGATGAGCTGAAGGCCGCTGTCCAAGGAACCCAGGGTTTGCTAACACCCGAGCTGTGTTACAGGATGATTGCCTCCACGCTCGACGTATTGATGCAATCATTCATGCTAGGGTGATGTGGTAAAATGTTTTGTACTTGAAAGTCAGAACAGAACAAGCCATACAAATGTAGAAATAAAATGGCTACATTGTTATGAGCAACAAAACACAGTCTACACTCTTAATAAAGAATGACAAGGTTGGAATAAACATCAACAAGCAACACATTGTTTAACATTGACTGTCACACAATTTTAATATGATTTGAATCCCTCCCATGAAAAACAACACGAAAAACTAATAAGTGACTTTGTGGGTAGGGGAAACTGTTTTCAGCCTCGCAATCTTGACTGCTAACTTGGTTACGATCGGCTGTTCAGGTTTGCTGAAGAAACTTATGCTGTCTCACATGAACCCAAGTTGTTGTTTTTTTAACTTATTTTTTTTTCCTCGAATCTTGGTTTTTTTTTTACAAAATGTCCCACCTATGGCACAGTTAAAATTTGGGCTTACACTGTACGGATGTCTAAAGAAGGCCCGCCAACGCTTTTACAGGACCTGCAGAGGCAACTCAAGGATTTTAACATCAACAAGGACAATCCTGGTTTGAGGCTTGTTATTAAATTCTTTTTCCCCTTCAGCATCTTATTCTGGTATAACTCCCTCACCAATCCAGAAATCCCCAAACTGTCCCATACATCAAAACAGGCTGGCCAAAATAATTGGTTCACCCCAAACTCACTTATCCAAATTATACGCCTGTTGTGAGCTTGGGAAGGTCACCCTCCTCACTCCCTCCACCACGCACTGCTGTCAGGTAAAGTTACACTGGCCCAGAAAAACACTTACCACAAAGACAAAAATGTATTCTCCCTGCAATAACCGCAGATATGGAAAAAAACGTTTTGTTTATCCCACCCAATAATGAATTTCTGTCACCATTTTCTCAGTAATAATACACTGTATAGCTATCTATGGGAATTTTAATTAGCACTAATGCTATCCCTGCAAGCCTGCGATAAACTCCGGGTTAATACTATACAGAATGACTCTTGGAAATGTGAAACAACAGGAGTTACCTTTTAAACAATTTGGTGACTATGGCACAAGTGTATTTTCTTTTGGTTTTTGTTTTGCACATTAAGGGCAAAACATTCCTGAATACATCAATACATAGTCATCATCAACGAGGCTACATTTGCATCTTATATTACTCAAAACAAACTAAAGTAGGACCGATCGCTGCTATGTGACACAATCCCATCAGCATGCTAATGGGCAGACAAAATAATCCTAATTGGTTTTGTGCATGGTAAATGTTTTGCCGATAATTGATCACAAACCAAAATCAGGCTTTATCAATATTTCAGAACAGCTTTAATTTGCCTCAGAAATAAATGACCAGAGTACCTTGCTGTGGTTGCAGCTTTTCTTCAAACCTCGGTAAACAATTTTTTTAATTTGTTTTTTCCGCCGTGAATGGCTGCGGAATAGTCCAGGCTTTCTTTTGCCCAAAGTTAGCTGGGATAAACGTCAGCTGACCGGCAGGTAGTGTATATAAAAGAAATGGATGGCGGCAGTTGTTCCCCACTTTACTTGGTGGGACACGGAAGAACTCCGCAATCATTTTCACAATTGTTTTCAGGTCCGGTCTGTCGAAACGAAATTCGGAAAACGGTCATCTTGACACATTCCCGCAAAAGCCAATTATGGAGCCCATCACACTGTTTGTGATTTTTGCTGCTCGTTTTGATAGCTGTAAATTGCTTTCTCAAAAAGAGTCGTAAAAGTCTCGTTCAGGTTATTGCCGTTGGTCCTAAACTGTTAACTGCAAAATGTCAGGACGCTCTTCTGTAATTGTGCCCGCCGACTGACCACCCGCGGCTTTTCTTGGAAATCACGTGTCTCGAAAGTAAAACAAGTATTTCTCAAGATCTGCAGGACATGTCCTGTAACTGTGCTTCAGTTTAATTGCGAATCCTCAATATCGTGTGGATGTGACACACAGAAGGCTTTCAATGACTCTTTTCGGAACTGATTACAACAACGATATCTGCTGAGCATCTGTCTTCCAAAGGTCTGCTTCCTTTGTGTGGGGCCTTAACAAAGCACCGCGCCGCCTCCTCTGTCATTGTGACAATCTCTGGCAGAATTTTCCATCCAAGTTGCAAATTATTCATGCCAATATTCATGTAAAAACAAAAATAGAATTTCCATGACTTTAAATCACTTAAAATTCATTCAAAAGGTGTGCAAAAAATTGAAGTTTACTTCAAAACTACACTCATCATAATTTCATATTGTTGTTAGCATTGCACAATTAAAATCGCCCGTTTTGGTTTTATGTGGTTTTTATATAACACTGTGATGTTCGCTTTTATAGACTTTTTTTTTAATAAGTCTGCACCGTCTTCCCATGCTGCTTTTTAAATTTTTAAATTGCGCCTCAGTTTGTCTCTTTCTGTTATGACCTTGAAATTGTTTGCCGTTTTCAGATGAATGTATCCTTGTACTTGGATAACAAGAAATAAAAAACCCCGACACTCTAGTGATTGAAATATTTCAAGAAGTTGCAATATTATTTATATTATATTTCGTGCTGGGGCAACGGTCTAATTCAGTGTTTGTGAATTTGGTAGATGCGCTCCGCCTCACTGGGCATTCTCGCTACACCCCCCAGCGCATCTGCAAGTTTGGTTACAAAAAGTAGACCAGATTTGAGACTACCTAAAATACATATAACTGTGCGCAGATGGTTTTATGGGATTTTGGTGTATTTGAGATTCAGCACCTCCCCCACGTGTGTGGTGGATGTCATCGTATTTCATTCAAAAGTTTGACAACACAGTGGGACAATCCCTCTGAGTTAAATTCATCCATTTTCCGAACCGCTTAATCCTCACTAGGGTCGCGGGGGGTGCTGGAGCCTATCCCAGCCGTCTTCGGGCAGTAGCCGGGGGACATTCTGAACCGGTTCCCAGCCAATCGCAGGGCACACATAGACGAACAACGATGCGCGCACACACTCACACCTAGGGAACATTTAGTGTGTTCAATCAGCCTGCCATGCATGTTTTTGGAACGTGGGAGGAAACCGGAGTACCCGGAGAAAACCCACGCAGGCCCGGGGAGAATATGCAAACTCCACACGGGGAGGCTGGAGCTGGAATTGAACCCGGTACCACTGCACTGTGAAGTCGACGTGCTAACCACTGGGCTACCGGGCCGCCCCTGAGTTAAATTAATTATTATAATTATTTTTGGGGGGAGTTTGTTCCCGCATCAAGAAAAGCGTTGAACAAATATTTAATGATATTAGCCGATGAACATATGGGAGGTCCCCATACAAAAACAAAGAAAATACTTGTTGCAGAGTGTTGCGTTTAGGTTTGTGTGGTTATTTTGAACGTCACTGGTTTATTTTCAAAAGTGGCTGGATCCAGCCTGTGCACGCACGCGCGCACGCACACACACACACACGCACACACCTTTCACTTTCATTCAGCACTGAAGAACATTTGCTCAACTCGACATAACAGTATCCCGCTTACCATTAATAGCCTCAATCTTTTAATTGATCTCCGGTATTTCAATGTGACTCTTTTACAATTCAGCATTAACTACACTTCCCACCCAGTTTTGAGTCCAATTTTTTGACAGTGAAATCACTTTACCAGGGGACATCTCTCTTCTCCTGTCACTTGGTCTTTCCTTCAAAAAAAATAAAAATAAGGAATGTTAGCATGCTGGCATTGTAATCACGCTCACGTCGTGTTTTCTGTGCCCTCTGACTCAGAGGCAGGCCAGGATGCAGAGAGAGAAATCGTGATGGTGTCCGACCCCATGGCGCTGGTCCCCTCTGATGTGTCCGCTGTCGCCCTGGATTTTAAGGTGCTCCACCCGGTGGTGATCACCAGGCTGGGGGTGTTTCCCCGAAGCGCTCAGCCTGAACTGAAGAGCAATGTGACTGTAAAGCTCCTGCAGCTAGATCAGGAGGTAGCTACTTTTCTTGCTTGATTTACAAGCTGTCCATGTGGAAATACTCACAGTCTCCTAATGAGCAGCTTTTGTCTTTTTTTTTGTTTGTTCTGTTTTTTGTTTTTTTTGCAGGAGGCGATAGTAACTGCTCGCTTCAGCGCCATCAGCACAGGGACCCTCGTAAGCGGAATATGGTACAAACCCGTGGAGCAGTTCATCTTGCCCAAGGTAGGTGTGTTTTTAAAATTGTCGCAACATAGGCCCTGAGAAAACAACTTGTGTTCATTATCCAGGGTTTTGAGGGGACGCTAGTGTGGGAGAGTTCCGACTTAGACGTACTGACCACAGTCAACTCATCATGTGTGCAGCTGAATGATGGGGGAGGCGTACTTAAGTTCTCGTCTGTAAGTAAAACAGTCCAGGTAGGGTTAAAGGTTAAGAAGCAAGCTCACGTCCCGCTTGTTGTTTTTGAAATCACAGATTGCAGAAGGCATACTGCCCCACAGAAGTGCTCTTGGATTTCCTGGTTTGGCTGGAGGTTTCACCTTTACCATTTACGGTTTGTTCCAGTGTCAACATTTCAAAACCTTGTTTTCCCTGGTACTTGAAGAGATTGTTTTTTTTTTTTTTTGTTTGTTTTTGTTTTTTCAGCCTCAGGGCTCTTACCTTCTCACCGACCGCTCATCTTGTTGTGCTCGATTATTGATTTTACACTTGTGCGGCTCATCAGGTTTTAGTTTAGCTCCAAACCGATTCTAGCTACTTTGAGGGAAACTGTTTTAGATTTGCGGTTTCGTGCTACCTTAAAACCACAGTTTTTTTTTCCCCTCACATATTTTTCTCCAGCAGGCATCAACGCGGCATGCACTCATGTAGTCAGCAGCGGTGCCTTTTGAAATGTTTTGTGGACTTTTTCTCTACCACCCAAGCTCTCTCCACCTGCTGTGACTCAAGACAGGAACGGTCTGTGTGAGCACCTGTGGGGCCGTCCAGCCAGGATGGAGCGCTACGCCTCGGGGCTGAGGCAGGAGGATGCCGCTTTGAAGCAAGAGAGCCTTAGGCACGGCGACATGGTCTTCGTAGATGTGGTGGACACCTACAGGAACGTGCCTTCCAAACTGCTTCAGTTCTACAAATGGTACGGCAAGTGCTAATGACTCTGCTTTCCGTCTCCAAATTGCCCTGGCCCTCCAAGGAAATCAGACCTCGAAAATGAAAGTGTGTCATTGCCTCACAAGCGTCCCGCTGTCAGAGGCATACTTGCAATCAGTGCCACTGTGTGTCATCAATTATCCAGACGTAAGCTAAACATTCCCAGAGTGAGGCCTAATCAATCAAAGGACGAAATGTGCAGCTTGTTAAGGGATTGGTGGGCTATTCATTCTATAGAAATATCACTTTCGACAGGACTACCATTGCATCTGCCACAAAGCAGATGCACTAATTGCTTCATGTCACTTGTCATCCATGTGTTCCTCATCTGTGATGTTTGTACCAGAAATGCATTGTCCCACGTTTGGCTCCATTTTTGTACATATTTCGAAACAATCTTTTTCCAAAGGCCGCACATCTCAAGACTTCCGAGATCTCACTGGTAGCAGTGCACTGTTTTTTTGCTCCTTCAGTCACATTTGATTATTTTCCAATATGGTGTGTGTGACTCTGTGCTGCTCCCACGGCGATGTTGGTTTAAATCCATCCATCCATCCAACCATCCATCCATCCATCCATCCATTTTCTGATCCGCTTATCCTCACAAGGTCGCGGGGCATGCTGCAGCCTATTGCAGCCGTCTTTGGGCAGGAGGTCTCGGACACCCTGAACCGGTTGCCAGCCAATCACAGGGCACACACAGACCAGGGGTCGGCAAGTCAAAATATTGAAGGAGCCATATTGGACAAAAAAAAAACCCAAAAAAAAACAAATATGTCTGGAGCCGCAAAAAAAAACAAAAGCCTTCTATAAGCCTTGTAATGAAGGCAACACATGCTGTATGTATCTGTATTAGCCTACTACCAAAATGACTAAGTTGGCGGTGAATTGTACATGAAAGGCGTTTTTTGGGTTGTTTTTTTTTTTGTGCAACAGCCACCTGCTTGGCATCCCGCCGTGCTAATAGAAACGTGTTTCGCAGGCTGTGACGCAAATCTTTGTCGACAGAAATGTTGACATTTAAATTTTATTCCACACATTTTTACAGCATTATAATACGTTAAGAATGTTTGTCATGTTTTTTCCCCCTACATAAACCATATTAAAACAAAAAATATATTTCCCTCCCCCATCTTTTTCCATTTTCAAACATTTTTGAAAAAGCCACCAGGGCGGCGCTAAAGAGCTGCCCTAGTTGCTCCCCACAAACAGCCGCGCACACACTCACACCTTGGGACAATTTAGAGTTTTTCATGAACCTGCCATGCATGTTTTTGGAACGTGGGGGGAAACCGGAGTAGTGGCTAGTGACCAGTCCAGGGTGTCCTCTGCCTCTCCCCTAATGTCAGCTGGGATAGGCTCCAGTTCACCCTAATGAGCGCACACGTCATGTTGTAGAAAATGAATAGATGAATGGTCAGTGCGATGGGCTTAGCCATAGTACCACGAGCAGTAAGGTCAGAGACTCAAAGTTCCTCTAAGTAATTGCTTTTTTTTTTTTGCTTGCTATTGTGGTTGAATTTAGAAAATGTAACACAACACCCCCTAAAATATAATTAATCCTCTCTCAAGGTTTGCTGAGGTCACATGCAATTTGCTATCAGTTCGTTCCGTGAAAGTTTTTGTGTACATTTTTGCCTTTGGGGCATTGACTGAGATTTTCACAGTTAATGTCACGCTATACTCTCAAGTCTTCAGATGGCCACCCTTCTGCATGTTAGTTCCACTTTCCCCTTGTGTGTCCTGAATCATCATCTCAAATTTCCTTACTGTGTGAAAAGAGAATTATCCGTTAAGTCTACTAGTCTCCCGACTCTTGTCTTTTCCCCTCAATAGCATCACATTTATCAATGTCAGTGTTGGCAAGGCACCTTTTGGGCTCTGGCCTGATGTTTTAAGTGGCTGTGTGCAATGCTCTTATAGTATCGCCGTTATTGAAAATACACTCATTCCCAATTTGACAGGTCTGTGGCAAATATTGACTTCAGTCTGCTCCTGAAGACTGATGATGATTGCTACATCGACGTGGACTCCGTTTTAATGAAGATCGAGCACAAGGGTCTCAAACGTAGCCATTTCTGGTGGGGGAAGTAAGTACAGACGACTAGGCGGGGTTTTGCATGATACCGTGTTTCTGCACGATGGCCAAAGATCACGCCCCAGCTTGACCCAGTTTCAGACAGAGCTGGGCAGTGGATCGCATTGGAAAGTGGCAAGAGCTCGAATACGCCAGTCCCGCCTACCCGGCCTTTGCGTGCGGATCTGGCTACGTGGTGTCACGTGACCTGGTGCAGTGGCTCGCCACTAACGCGCAGAGTCTTAAGGCCTACCAGGTAGCCCCTTGCTCACCGAACACCTTGCCGGAGGGCACATGTGAAAGGTGAGCTAACAAACGTGTCGTCATAGGGAGAAGACGTGAGCATGGGCATATGGATGGCAGCTGTTGGACCACAGAAGTATCAGGTAAAATCTGCCAAACCCATAAATTGGAAGCTAGCGAAGGGTTCTGTTGGATTGCCAAAACTTTACCTCATGCATGTAAAAAATCACCTCAGTCTGTCAAATTGCCACCATCATGTGTTTCCAAAGCAGGCAATCCGTTTATGAGAACATAAAATGAAGTGGACAATGCACACTGTATTTTTTCTTCATTGGAAACTGGACAGTAACACGTGAGACGATGCATTATTATTATTAGGTAATGGAAATACACTTTGCATTTAAATACAGGCTCCCAACATGCGTGTATGGAGAGAGAAGAGGAACGTATTTTCAAATAAAATGAGTCCCTGTATCCCAAATATATTCTGAATCATGTCCAGAATGTAATTATGATCATCTAGCAGTGCAGAAAATGCAACGAAATAGGGTTTGTCAGGATTTAAGTGCACATGACTAGAGGCTTACATCCTTAGGGGGATGTAATTACTCGAATGCCACTCAGTGGAGCGCAGACAACAATCCAAATTTGGATCTGCACAAAATTGTACACCTCTGTCAATACTCACCATCTGCATGGAGTATCATGCATTATTCATATGGACTTTGAGGACAATGTGGGAAAATTCCATATTTCTAAACAAGCATGGAAGTGCATTTCAACACGTAATTGATTTGACCCTGTACCCACCGAAAACTTGTGGCAATTTTTATTTTGTCTTTGAACGATGCTCGAACAAAGAAAGGGCATTGAAAACACACCTTCCGCGGTGGAGGTAATGTCATGCAAATGTTCAAACAAGCGAGTGCAGATGTTTCCCCACCTAAACACTCTGTGCTTGAATGCCACTGCGGCCTGTCACCGTGTTGTTTAATCTCCCCAACATGGAGGCTTGTTTGCGGCGTGTTCACTGAGCAAAATAAACAGTTGGCGACGGGCCGTGTTAACGCAACTCCTCTCCTGGCCAGGACCCCAGCTGGCTCTGTGAGAAAGAATGCTACCTGGACATGCTGTCGTCCCCCCAGCACACAGCGGAGGAGCTGCGTGCCATGTGGGACAGGAAGAGGACGTGCGGTGACCCCTGTGGATGTCCCTGGGGACAGTAAGGTTTGGAATCGCACGCCACGTGCAGCACTGCGTACTTGTGACATTCAGGCTTCTGCGCTTTTCTCCATACCTCAAATTGTGATTTCGTTGTTTCCAAGTTCACACTGTGTTGCCATGAGGTGTTTTGATCATTTCTGATACTTGGCACAAACTTTTTAAAAAGGAAAAGATGATATTGCTGTTCTTTGCCCTCCCCGCCCATCATTACTGTCCTGCCACCCGGTTGTCGTCGTGCAAGATAGTGACGTTGCCTTATTGTATTTGTAACAGCAGCATAGATTCTACGTGGACAAATCGTTGTACAATTTGCGAGGCAAACTTTTGAAACTTGACTCCTTTGCAGGACATAAAGAAAATGTCAAAAGAGATGAAAATGTTTCTTGTGTATTTTGAGGCCGAAGATGCACATTTATATTCTTGTTGGATCCACATTCACCTGGTATCATTTTATTTGCGTTCCAGCTCAACAACTGTGAAGGTCCACCGTTAGCAGATGCGCCATTTTGCAACCAAAGTCCATTTTTATATCTAAAAAGGAATAGGAAATCACTCTGAAGCAGCGTGCTGGTTGTTTTCCTAAGACATCAATCGTGAACCTGTGGAATATTTTGGGCGCGGAACAATTTACACTTTGTTTCAAATCTGGTTGACAGTGACAGTGAATTTCTATGTTTTTTTTTTCTTTCTTCACCTCCACAGATTTAGAAGAAAAAACTAATGTGACTGAAGTGTAGACTTTCGGCTTGAAGAGGTTTCACAAAAACGTGGCATTTTGCAGTAGCGGCTATTTTATGCAAATCCCATCTATCTTTAGGGGTTGCCGACTCTAGTTTCTCGTTTGCGGGTCTTGTTACCTTCACCCTTTTCTTCCGTTAAGTGAAAAGCACACTAGTTGAATACTCCAATTATTTTCATTGTTATTTTTTTTTCTACTAAGAGAAATGTATTGGACCATCACCCTTGGCCTTCAGAAGGAAAAACAACTTTTAAAGATCGCAACACACTGGATAAGTGAGGCTTATCGTTGTTCAAATCTATAATCAAGAGACACCTTCAAATGTAATGTCGGAGGGTTAATAGGTGGTTTATAAGGCGCAGCCCCCCCACCCCCCAAAAAAGTACCGGTATCACTTTTTTTTTTTTAACAACATAAACCAAGACTAACTAGTTCACTGATGAATTGTGTGATGTATCTGCTCACACTCAGCCAAATAACCTGACACTGGCGCATGCTGATGGAAGATTATCCACGTCTAATGTAAAAGTAATGTAAAAAAAAAAAAAGTTTCATGTTCTTCAATGTCTCTCTCAATCACTTGATCTCAACACTATGGATCAGGCTTTTTGCTCAATGTAGGCAGTAAGACTTGCAAACAAGCAGCAAGTGAAATGATGTCCATTAGCTGTAGACTAAACAACGAAGCTGTAATGGCTGTAATTCCAAAATGGTAAATGCAATGTTTTGGCGCAAAAGCTCAGTGAGTATAAAGGCAAAATCAAATCTCTGTCACTGTCCAAATTTACACGGATCTGGAAAGTGCATCTCACTTTTGAGTTTTGAACGCCTGCTCCCATACCAACTGGTGTTTTGCCCTCAGACAATAATCTGACAAGCACGCTCAACATGTATCTACCGGTACTTTGAGATGAAATGTCTTTTGTTTTGTTTGAGATGTTGCCCGAAAAATGCGCTCCTGCAGTTAAGCTGACATTTAAACAAACTGCCGTCCGTCCCTTGAGATTCAACCTCCTTTCATAGTGAGATAGCAAAGTCCCATCCGCGTGCGTTCTAGTCGCCTGCTTACATAAAGGAACACTCCCCCCCCGTCATGATTTTGTTGTCTTCTTGGTGAAGTGAGCGAGAAACGAGGGAATAACACGCAGATGAAAGCTCTCATTTGTGCTTGAGTGCTTCTTCAGGAGATGAACTTATTTCATTTGCCTAAGCGCCAGCGAACACTGATGTAAAAGGTTTAAATTACCAACACTCTTTTAATGTGTCCACCTACACGCTTGGCCAATGTGTCTATTCACAAGTCTAATTCAGCCTTTTTCGTTGGGCCTTCCGTCTCATGAATAGATATTTTGAAAAAAAAAAGTGTTGCAGTCACAGTGTCTTTTGCTGTGTGATGAACTGCCTCGTTTACGGATGAAGGAGAGACGCCGGGAGAAAGCAAGACGTCAAAGCCAAAGCAAGGAGTTTACTTATGTAGCGCATTTCATACACAAGATAAATCAATGTGTTACACAATTAGGGTTTTCTGACTCTTAAGGATGTTACACTCAGAGCCATCACGCCAATATAGCGGAGATGCTGCAACGGGTGGACACGAGACCGCCCCACACCCCACCCCGCCTTGCACAAATGGTAATACTTCTTTCTTATTACAGAACTTGCGTTCCGAAAAATATGCCGATTTAAGAAAACAAAATCCAGAACGATTTTCAAATCCCTGCCCGATGTCATTTTTAGATCTCCAGAAGCGGCCGTGTCTGGGCCTAACACGGACTTCTGGTCAACCTACTTGATAAGCTACGCTTGGAAAACATTTCAACTGTGTTTTATATCAGATTCTGGTTCTGTTTTGATGACTCAATTACCAAATGATGTTATTCTGTTGAATGTGTTTTGCAGATTAGTTTAAACATCTCTATATTTCTTTCTCTTTTTTTTTTTTTTAAAGCAGGGTCCTTGACACAGATACTTTTCCCAGTGCTGATGAAGTTACTGTTCTTCACCCTCTAACATTTATTCTCAAAAGGACTCTTGAATTGCCCATTGGTGTGGATGTGAGTGAATGGTGGTTTGACGATATAGTCTGTGTCCCCTTGCGATTGACTGGCGACCGTTCCAGGGTGAACACCTCATCTCACCTAAAGCCACAAAGGGGTACCTATGATCCTAATGAGGACAATCAATAGAGAAAACAGATTGATGATGATTACTACATTTTTAAAAATAATTTTAGAATGGGCCACACGATGCCTCCGTTTAACACATTTATCACAAAAAGCAAATGACTCGACAAATATTATTCTCAAATAAGAAGGAGATATTGAAGTTGTTTTTTTGCCACATTTATTAAATATTCAACTACAGTTTATTTTACATTGGATGCTGCAGTAGTTGTCTTACGTAATCGTGTGGTTTCTGCCTATCCGGTGTAGTTTCAATAAACCGCGGTGCACTTCAAGTAGCCATTTAGTTTACCTTGTTTTTTTTTTCTTTTCTTTTAAGCAACCTATTTCATCAACAGGGAACCGGAAATATGGAAATGCAGTACGATTAAAAACTTCAAAAAGTCTATTGAACAAATGTGATTAACATTCAGGACTCTCAGTTGCTTTTCTCGTCATATTTGCAATTGGAAAATAACTTTGTGGATACCTTGTGCTATTGATAAATGACTAAATAATCGGTCCATTTTATTGCCGCCGTTATTGGTTTCGGTTTTCTAATACAGCTTTACACAAAAATGATGCTACTTTTTCTGTTCCAGTCCTGGTGAGTCAATCCTAAAGTGTGTTGATTGGCCGCCATATGCATCACTATTTGAACATCTTTTGTACTCATGCAGACCATTCCACACTGCTGTCAATCACCCTCATCCATCCATGTGTGGGGCTCTCTGGGAGGAGGAGGAGGAGGAGGAAATCATTTATTCATGACACCCGAAAGCAGCCTTGCTGACTGTTTATGACTCACGGGAATGAGGAGGTAATACATTAGACGCACCATCACAACTTTCATTCCCACTCGGAAGATAAGCATCTCCTCGCCACGCTGTCTGCCGACATCTTCACATCACAGTCGTATTATGTGCGGCGCACGCAGTGCACCGGGTCACGTGGAAATATTCCGTAAAGACTTCATTGCTTGTCAATGCAACGCTTCTCTCAAGTGAATCGTATTTCATAAGCCCACTCGACTCCTGCTGCAGTCGTATGGCAAAGCTTCTGCAATGGGAGTGCGCGTGTGTGATAATTGGTTCGGTGAGTGACAGACGTAAGAGGATCGCAAATGAGCTCAGGCAGTGTACGTCTGCGATCTTTCCCCCCCCCAAAAAAAACTTTTCCCGTATGATAAATGAAGGCTGAAAACAGTGACTAGTTAATTATTCCTCCTTACCCCAAATAGGATGCGATGAGGCAGACGGGAGGCTTTGCAAACAAGTGGGCGCTGGTAAAAATATGCGCAAGCACATGTTGCTCTGGGTGCAACGGCATGAATATTAATCAGGCTGTTTAATGTCTATACATCAAGTGCTCTTGAGTGTCATTAGCCTGTGTCATAGTACGTTGTCAAACCTCACAGCTGTCTTCTGAGTGACTCTCATGCCTATTGATGCATTCGGATACCCTGTCACATAGTCGAGATGCATTACGATGAGAGACACTTTATCACAGAATTTAGTCGAACGTGTTGTAGGCACACCTAGAATGCTGGGGGATGATTTTCAAAAAACAAAAACCACTCGCTCATGGATTATACGGCAGAATAATTTTGGATGAAGGGCCCCACGTGATTTTTCAAACTGACAGACCATCGAGATCATTTCGAGATGAAGTCAAAGAAACACAAATCCCTCGTCAAAATGTGTACGTTAAGTCGTTTTGGAAAACTAATTTCAACACGAAAATGCATTCTCACCTTCGACCCTTTCATGCACCTGTAACCTGATAACATGATAGGCTGTCCACTGTAGTGACCGCTGTCCCTGAAAGGGTTAATTGTATTATTTTTAACTAGTTATGATGAATGAAGTCATGATACGATTCCATAAATAACATGAATCATTATTATATGATACATATTAAATACACCATTGTTTCTATTTCTAATATTTGTCATTTTGTTATTTACAATAAATCCATTAACTGGCATTTTATATGACCAATATTAGGAAAGGGCTGCACATCGTTTCTGATTCAAGCAGACGGGATGATGTGGCCCAATGTGAATACTGTCTGATGTCCTTCATGCTCTATGAAAAGTAGACAAATTGCCTTTGCTTTTTTTTTTTATATTTTATTTATTTATTTTTTTTAAGCAAAACAAGACTTTCATAAACATCAGCTCGGCCTTCGAAAAGTTCAAACTTGGCTATTTCCTATCATGTTTGGAATCTAACATGAACTCATATGTTCCCAAACTTCGAGAGTGACAGGTCCCAATATGACATGAAATGAAAACGGATGCGGTGGATTCTCACATGCTGACGCTTCGGCCGGCACCCGTAGATTCTTTGCGGATTTTCACTATTTGCCGGGCTCCACTGTAATCGGTCCCATACACACGTTCCGAACTTTAAAGTCAACTTTTAAGTATTTTTTTATCATCAATGGGAATTGTAATTAACATATAGAAACAGAGTGTGAAGAGAGAAGTATCAACTTTTCATCAGACTATTTACTTACTTTGTATACATATTTCAAAACTGTGTATTTTATGTACAGTACTGTAATCAATTAGAGCTTTATGAATCCTTGAGAGGTTTCCTTCAATTGTGCCCCTGGATGGATGGATGGATGGATGGATGGATGGATGGATGGATGGATGGATGGATGGATGGATGGATGTTGGTCCTATTCGGATTCTTTCAAGTTGTGTGCCGATGTAGAAGTTGCACTGTTTGACGAATGTTGAATTGAATGTACTCAGCACTTTGGCCCGTCATTTGAGCTACAAAATGGGTTTGTTGCCATTAGAATATTTATGAACTCTCCATCTCTGTCCTTAAAGCGCAGCCTGATGATAAATAACCAAATCTTGCAAGGAATGGGCGGGGATGATGGGTCTATTGGTCCCCACGCAAACACCAGCATGCCTGAATCAATCTCTGTGTCCATGAGAGAGGGGAAAAAAAAAAGTGATTCGTGGCGGGGTTTTGATGAGTGATTGTGACGGACTCAAGCAAGCTCTTCTGCTATTTGCATTTTATCACACTTGCTCAGAGCAAACAACAAAGCAAATGGCTTCTCTTTCACCTCCTGTTTTAGGAAAAAAAAATGGACAAAGTCTTGAGAATTATTGTGGCAGTACCACGGAAGAGAAGGCGAGCTTTGATAAGACATGAAACAGACACAGGCACGAGTTGAATGAGTTCAGACGAAAGTTGCTGCAAAACTGCAGCCATGTTCAGCGTAAACCAGCATTGAATACACTCAAGGCTTTTTGACATGGCTGCTTTTGTTGGATTAAAAAAAAAAAAGACCTGTGTGCAGTGCAGCACCACGTACATTATGTGATTATATTGTGCTAAAAAGTTTGTATTTGCGTATTTTTAGTGTTTGCAGTTGTGAGCTGGCTTGAATAAGAAACAGACAAATGCTTGCCCATCTATTTTCTGTCACGCTTGTCCTCAAGTTTGTGGTTGAGCCAGAGCATATAAGGCACATGTATGTGCACAACCATTGATTGACATCTATGGAAATTCTAGTTTTTAATTCTAAAATTCATATTTTTGGGATGCGAAAGGAACCTGGAGATGAAGTACCCGAAGAAACCTCAAATAGGAAGACCCGAACCAAGATTTCAACCCAAAACCTCAGTATTGAGACAGCTATGCTAACCAGGATGCACACCGTTCTGCCCTCGTTTGAATTCAGATGCATTAAACATTTGCAGTCTTGAAATATTTGTTCACTAGATGGCGCTATTTCTCTTCATGGGTTTAGAGGAAAGCTGATATGACCCCTGAGGACAACAAAACCTGCAAACCTCAAAACGTTCTTGAAGAATCTTTATTTTATTGTTGCATGATAACATGATAACAGTCTAAAAGGTTGACAATTTTGTGAGCATGATAAAAATAATGGAAATATGATAGTCCAATGATGAACACTGAGAAACGCACAGAAATATTGACCCCCCCCCAAAAAAAAATCACACTACGTTAAATGGAATAGCAATATTTTGCATAACAAGTGGACAATTTGATGTTCTTTGAGCTGTGGCGGCTTGATGAATAAGAGCCACGTGTCTCTTAAGGCACTCCAAACATCCACGTGCTTCAAAGATGGACTTCAGCAAAACACTCCGTTGGTTATAAAGCAAATGGCTCTCCCTTTAGATCGCGCCTTTCTAACTTCAAGGTACTCAAAGGGCTTTTAAAATGTCGCCTCATTCACACAATGATGATAGCGTATGTGGCCATGGTAGGAAATTCAATGTCTGCGGCACACAAAGAAACCTGAGCCAGCCTGGAATATTTCACATTTCGAAGCAAACACGGACAATTTCCTCCAAAGCCAAATTGTGAAATGAACACTTTTTCAGAAGATGGGCTGCATTTGCTTCCACGGAGTGTTTATTACATCTGAACAGTCGCGTCATGATTTCAGAATATTTTCTGAACACAGGCTGCCTTTGCTTCCGCCATGATACATGGAGGCTACAATTTAATAAGATATGAACAGTGGCATTGTCATTTTAACACATTTCCAACACAGCAACCGTAGGGGCAGGACGCAGACTTGATTGGTTTCCACCAGGGGTCTAATGTTCTAACAGTTTTGTGATAACGAGTGTTTTCGTGGACGTAAGGCTTGCAGAGTGAGGGACGACGAAGAGGAGGAGGAGGAGGAGGTCACAGCGGTTTAACCTGACGTGCTGCTCAGTGCTCAGCCTTTGACTCCGTTTCAGCCTCTCGATGCATGCGGCTGAGGAGGTCCACCAGGCTTTCCAGCTGAGGGTTCCCCCCAAACTCCCTGATTAGATGGTAAGCCTCGGCCTCCAGCTCTCGCAGAGTCTGACGGGTATATGCGAACGAGCCCACCTTCTCCAGGTAGTCCACGCAGTAACGCTTGATGTCCAAGTTGTCGGTGCGCTGTCTGAGGATGTTCTGCACCTGGGTGCTCTCTGGACGTGACCATATGGCGTGAATGGTGGGGAAAGAGAACTTGCCCTCTGTCAGGTCCTCGCAGAAACTCTTGTTCTCACTGTACTCGCGAGAGCTCAGGTTGGCGTAGTCATCCCGGATCTGGAAGAAGAGGCCCAGCGTGTCCAGGAGGGGCTTCAAGTCCTGCTTCCAATCGGAGAAGAGCTGCATCAGGCCCACGGCCAGGCCGAAGAGACCTCCGGTTTTCTGCAGCACCATGTCGCGGTACTCCTGCTCCGTGGGACAGGTGTACGTGTCCCTCCAGTGGATGTCTAGGCCCTGGCCGCGGTGCAGCTCCAGCAGTTGCCGGGTAAACACGCGCACGGCTTCGGGGTTGTCCAGCGTCAACACCTTCTCCAAACCCAGAAAGTACACGTAGTTGGCAGAGTTGATGACTGATGGCACGCCGTAAATGCTGTGGGCCACGGGGAAGCCTCGCCGCAGATTGGAGTTGTCTTCGATGTCATCTATGAGCAAGCTGGCGTTGTGCAACATTTCGGTCACTTCGATGATCACCTGAATGAAGAAGACAACAAAAACTCAAGTGACCTCTTGAGAGACGGTGTGACTTGGCGTGTACAGGTATGTTGATGCACTACAACTTGTGCACACCAGAGGGCGCCAAGCTCAACTCGAGTACTGACAGTCAAATGGTGAGTGATTGACCTTCTACACTTACACACTCATAATTAGTGGATGCAGGACTACACACCTCTTCACGTCCTAAAAGCGCCTTACTTAGCATTAGGAGACAAAAAGTAGCAGAAAAACACAAATAAGAGAATGCATTGCTTTTTGGAAAAATACATTCACTTCCACAAATTCCTTTTCGATCCACCACAGTTGTGTTCCTAAATTTGCCTTGGCAGGATTTGTAGCCCATGTACCATTTTTTAAAAAAATTGATCAGGCAAAGTTTGAAAGATTCCAATAATTCCGAAACTCCCATAGTATGGAAATCTATAAGTACAACTGTATCTCCCTAACCTAACTTTTGGGGTTCGCTCATCTTAAAGAAAAAAAAACAACTACTATTAGTATTCTTAATCCCTAAAATCCAAACCCGTGTGGAAATGTTGACACTGATGTTGAATGATAAAATGGAACCATCAATATCCTCCCCTCTGAGAGGATACGAGACACAGAGTAGTAAGTCAAATGCTGGCCTTGTGATTTGAAGGCTGGTGGGAGTGAGAGCCGTTTGCACAAAGAGAGGCTCAGTGGGTCAGGCAGATGGCCAAGGCTGCCTAACACAATCTTTCCTTGACCCTGAAACCTCAGTGAGCCACTTTAAACATGACGGTCTGCTCTTGGACCGCAGTTCTCAAACATTTCGTTTTCAAGGGCTCCCCCCATAATCATAACGCCAATTACATGTAACTACTATGCATACCTGTGCTGTGGCATTCATCTTGTCATTTTTTTTAAGATAATGGCAGCTCTGTTGAAGACTGAAGTGACAGCTACAATTGTCAGCGAGTGAAGCGATTTTCTCTTTTCTGGGGGGAAAAAAACCACTGCCATGTATACCCGAAAATGCCATTATTTTTTGTTTTTCTGAATGTTTCAAGGTAATTATCCATTTCCTGTTTAATAGAAAGTGAATTAAAGGAAATGAAGCTAAAGGAACCGAAACAAATTAAGTTTTTATTAATCGCCGCCAGGGACTTTAATTTCTGTAAAGAAACGGACAACATGAGTGAACCGCTTTCCAATTCTGTAGCATGGTGCCATTTACTGTATACAGCTTGTTGCAAACTGCAGTGGTTTATCGACATGTTGAAAACATGTTGCTTAGTTACGTGCTTCCAAATATTTTGCCAAGGTGAACTTGACTCACCTGTCCAAATTTATATTAAAAAAGAGCATGTCGGCGCTCGAAATGCTGTACGCATACAAAGATGTCAGATTTATGATATCAGAGCTTGTCATTGGCTCAAGGCGAAGGGAGGGAGAAAATTTTGGTTTTGTGTGTTTTACTGCCACACATCTGTAGATCTGCCCCCCCCCATTTTTTTTTTAAATGACACAACATAGTGTGTTGCAAATAATTTTGCAGACCACATCTTGAGAAGTCCTTATTTAGCACTTAAAACTGAACATGTTGAATCGTGAATGACACTATTGGGTGAGTGACGTAGTCCGTTCTCTCCAATTTGACAAGTGACGTTCGTTTCACGAGGCAAAATAACAGAAATTGCTCATCCCTAGCACCTATTCTGCCACAGCAAATCCAAAATTTCCATCAATGACGGCTCCAATATAAAAAGAGCGGCGCCGACGATAGCCATGGAATGTGTTTCGTCAGACCGCCCCAGTGCCAATGTGCTGCGCGCCCTCACTGATCCACAAGTCTTCATTGATTAGCACTACACTTTGCCGACTGTGAAAGTCAGTTTGCCAAAGTCACAACCAGCGACCTATTAACAATGCAGACATGTCTTTGCCACAAAGAAGCACATTCAGTGCAATATACTGAGAGGCAGTCAGTTGTGAGCAGGCTGTCCTCGTGTCATTTAAGGATCCTGCACAAGCAGGGTTACAAGGCAGTGGATGGAACGGATGATGCCTCACGCCTCTGACTGACTTATTCAAAGTGCATCGCATTAAAATACAATACATGGAGTCTTTGGTTATTCCACTGTTCTGTTCCTATGGTGTCGGCGTAACCCAAATTTGTACACAAGTAGACCAGGAACATACAACAATCAAATGTAAAAAAACAGTACGTACAGCCTCCCTACTTGTGCTGCCTGACGACGGATTCGTATGTAGCTCCCCAAACTAGTTCATCGCATAGTGTGAGGGGATATTTTGTACACGATGACTATGATTAAATGACTGACCAATCAAATTGGTTCTGACCACATAAAGCAGGCGGTTTGTTGGGAAAGAATAAACTAGTTGGGTCCATTTCAGGCCCCACTGCAGTACAATCTGACTCATGCCAAGTGGAACTTAAATGTTCCACTTGACTAAATGAATATGGATATTTTTTGTGATTAAACCATCCCACATTTATGTGTAGCCGCAAGTTATGTGACTGCCATCCAATTCTTAGTGATGTCTTACAGAGGCCGTGATTCTCCATTTGTCGTGAACTAGAGGCACTTAGCTTGAAACAGCAGACATAGTCAGAAACACGTTTTAAGAAAAAAAAAGTAAGCAATATACAGAGCTCAATAAAAATGAGTAAAGCCTTCTGTAAAGTAAATTCATCCATTTCTCATCTCTCTCAATTTTGACTTTGGAAAAATATCAGTCACGGCCAAACTGCACTTTACTCGACTTTAACTTTGATGAACACAGAATATGGCTCTTGAAATACAGAACTTTGCGAGGCTAAGCATTTTGCAACGCTGGAGGGAACAGACCAAGGGCAACAGTACAATGGCAACCTCAACACGTACTGCACAGACACACATCATAGACTTGATGTACTGTCCAAATGAATGACACAGTACACCAATGTCACTCCCTTCATCTATCTGAAGGCACACTTGTTTCCATGGCGGCGCCTTCTTGGCAGCAGAGCACTAATGATGACGAGAGGTGCGCTCTCAGTCTGCGTGATGGGTTCAGTGGGAGTTTACCAAGCGCCACGCAAAGGGGGGGTGGGGGTGCTGTGCCATAATTCACCGCAATTGGAATTAGAAGGCTTGTGGCAGTGGACTAAAGTCAGATTTGTTTATAATATCAACATGTGGAGGTCGCGTGGAGTGCAACACAGAGGCACATAAGCAGGCACATGTGAGGCAGCATGATGTGTAAAATGTCTTGTGGGATGCAGAGTTTTTCTGTCCGATAATGTCATCTTGTAAGGTAAATGTACATTGGAACCTCTAATGTTGAATATCTAACAACAAATTTGACCAATGAGGTTGACGGTGTTGCCACCATTTAATACAAGCACATTTGTTTTAAAATCCAAATGACATAGATGTCGTCCCACAGCTGATTGTTTGATCTGTGAGGAACTAGCTCGTGTAAATAAATGGAAGGCAAGTCCTCGCAATGGAAACAATACAACATCCAACAGCTCAAGCGCAAGGCACATAGCACCCCCAATTGGACGAATGGGAGATTGATATACATTTTATTTATTATCATTTTTACATTTTGGATTTTGTGAGGACCAAGAAAAACATTTTGAACAGCAGATTTATCCGCGTCTGACGGGCGACTTAATCCTGTCATTTACAATAACGCAGCTCTCCAAGTTTGTGTCCCATGTTTCAAAGGCAGTTAGGCACAACATTAGTTTGTAATCATTGGCACTGTAAAGCTCATAGCACAATAGTTGTGGTCAATAAGAAAAACTACCGAATCCTTAGTAGCTCCCCCAAATGTAATTTGACTGAAGAAAAACAGCAGCGTTTGATTGACTTGCACGATCGCATTGAAGGGAGCCATTCCCAGTACCCTAATTCATAACCTGTAAATCATTCACAAAGTACTATAATTTGCCTTTCCTTAAATGCTTTCCATAAATTGTGTACAATTTACAACAGCTGTGAGGTACTGGAAATTGTAAACGAAGCATCTTGCAAGTGTTTGAATGTGATTTCGAAAAGTGTGATTTCTCCTCGTGCTATTGTGCAGATTCATGGCACATGAATCAAAGAAGACAACAAAAATGACGTTTTCAGAATTTCGTAAAGGTTGATTTTGTGTCATAATGTGAGAGAGCTGTTTATAAAGACCTCACGCTGCTTTTGGTGCTTCAGATGGTGAGGCTATAATGGGTTTAAATTGAAAATAATCTCAACTATTGACATTGCGGCTCTATCTCCATAAATTCTGCTGCAGTTTTTTTTTTGTTGCTTTTTTTGTTGTTTTAGTGTTTTGTTTTGTCACATTGTGTTTGTTGTTACGTTGTGTGGACCTGATGTGGATTGTTTTCAGCATTTTTTTGGCCACGACATTCGTCAAAGGAGAAGAATCTGTGCTTGGTGGTTGCAATTTGTCGGCAGCATGCGTATAACAGCACTGATTTTGATTGGAAGAAATGTCTGTGCCATTTGAGTGTCGTTGCTGGACAGCCCCCGGGTGCTTGTGTTTTTTTGGGCCTGAAATGGGCAGCATTTTTCACAGCCCCGCTTTGTTTAGCAGAAAGGTCGGTGCTGTTGGACAGTCTGCGGCTGGATGGATGGCTCGGGGAGCCGACGATGAGAAGAAAGGAGCGTCAGCGCAGAGCGCCGATGCCTATGTGGAACTGGGAGTCGCGACTAGGAACTGAAGCGGATTTACATGGGACAGGAGATGTGAGCCAATCTTTTTTTTCGTCAATGGATGCTACAGCTTCTTGTTTGCTTTCAAAACTTAGCTTGTAGCAGACGTGTGCACATTTTCAGCATGACGTCCCTGATCCACTGGTAAAAGGACACTTTGATCCTCTCCTCTTTCACCTTAACTGCTTCAAACAACAAAGATTATGCAGAAAAGTGATTAAGAGTGAATGACTGTCTGTGTCTTATGTGTTATGTTGTATTATTTTGTTATTATGACTTCAAGATGGCACCGCGAGAGTGGCTGCCTTTACAGCAGCTCCTTTACTTTTTGTTCTTCTACTTTGTTCCTTTCATAACTTTGCTCCTGTAAATTGGGAATTTCTCCATTGTGAGATGAATAAAGGTTTTCTTATTCTTAGTCTTATTAATGTGGCATGTGACAAACGTGGCTGCCAATCTAACTTGTTTCCTCCCATTAGGAAATGGATGGATGGATGGATGGATGGAACTTGAAACTGAATGGAAAATGATGAAATATATTTCTGGTTATCTGAAATTGTGTTTGATCCTGAATGAAAAATAAATTCTGTAAATTTTCACATGCAGTTTTCCCAAACACAAATTCAGTTGTTCTCAATACAAAACCATCACTGAACCCTGACAAACGCAACATTCACTGCCTTTGAAAACACCCGCAATTGTTCGCCATGCAGTGGGACTGGGGCTTTAGTATTTCGTTTCCATTACTCACCTGCAGTTTTTCCTCTGGAACATTGAGCCAGTGGTTGAATGCTTGCGCAAGCTTTGTACGCACTTGTTTTCCTGAGGAGACAACAATGAAAAAGTGGTTTGATTAATTGAATCTATTTGATGAGATGCGAAATTATCAGCTCACTAAGAAAACAGGAAAAAAAGGCTTTCTTACAGTATATGTCTGGTGTTGATTTCATATTCTGGATTCCACATTGATTAGAATGTGTTGTCCACTTGCACATATGGAGTACTTCAAATGCAAATTAACTGGTAGGCAGTAGCAGCAGGACCCCCGAAAAATCAATGTTAGAAGGAATATCATTTTGTACAGAATTTCGCATACTGAATAGTACATCCCAGTGCTCAATTTATAAATTTGAAATTTCCAAAAGACAGTGATAGTGATGTTTGTGAAGTTTGGCAGGAATTCACCTGGCAGTTGTAACAAGTATTTGTACGGCTCCAGGAGAATTCGCTCTGAGGCTGCTCCTGGCTCCCCGTCCATCACTTCAAAACTATTTAATGTCTTGCTAAGGGAAGAAAGAGAGATTTTCATGAAAATGGAACAAAAAAAATGGAATATGCATTAACCTGATTGATGATGGAAGTGGTCTATTAGGTGAACACTATGTGTATTGGGACCTTTACAGAGTAATGATTATAAAACAACATGGCACACATCAGTGTTGAGAATGTTAAACTTTAAAAGAATCAAAAGCAATCGCTGTGAGACATGGCTAGACTTAACACCACTTGCTGCAAAAACCCTATACAAAAGTAGTAAACACTAAAAAGATGCTATTATGTAGTACTTACGCTCACCATATACTCCTAATCAGAACCAAATACAAGAATTGTATTCATTTATTGGGTGGGGTGGGAGCAGGAAGCAGTATTAAGAAATGTTTGTGAATGGAAGGAAATTGCAATGAATGGATGCTCACTGATCACGCGACTGGATGCGTGGTATGGTATCACCCATAACAATGCATGAAGAAGAAAATCAACAGTTCAGTTCACGTGCATGAAATGGACTAATAATTTTAGGCCTCAGTCGATGTTATTAAAAACTAACTTTTAAAGAAAAATACTAAGGAAAATAAAAATGGTCGACTCGAATGAATTATGTCATTGTAATCATCAGTGGATGATCAAAATGAGTACAAAACCAAAATACATTATGAAGATCAGCTTTATTATTATTAGTAGTAGTAGTATGTGTGTAATATATTACAAAGAGAAAGACAAAATCTGTTCAACATTCATTTCAATAAAAACGTCCGGGAATTCAGAAGCCTCTTCAAGACCACAAACTCGAGTATTTTACACATATAACATATTTCGGATTTAAAAATCATACATATTAGTAATTTTCTATTACTTATCCTGTTCTGTGTTCGCGATTCTGCCTATTGAAAAGTGTCACGTCTATAATTTAAAACACACGAAGTGTCGACAAATTGTCTTCAGTTCTACCTACCTTGTTGTCTCCGGTATCAGAATGCTGACTGGCCGATCCTGTTAGCCACACGACGAGTTGACTTGCGTTAGCATGCAAAGTAATACTAACGAGACGCCAACGCGCTTGCCGGACTGGTTTTATGTAATACTTTGGTCGAATACTGTAAAGACGACAGAACTGCCAAATTCACTTAGTGATGGTGCAGTAATCGACCACACAGCCAATTCATGGGATGTTGTGCTATATTAGCTCTGGAACTGGGCAGATAATGTCTGCTGTCAGAATAGTTAGCTTGCTGAAGCTACATTTAATATTCGCGTCGAGCTGTGTGTGTTCTACGGAAACAGCAACATTGCCCGATAGCAACAAACGACTTGTACTTGACAATGAACGAAAGAGGAACGTCAAATTGGGACATATGTGAAGAAAAACGAACGCACCCATCTAAATATAAATCTGGGGGTTGTAGTTCTTTATGTTGTGTATTGTGTCAAGTAACCAGTAGGTACGTTTATTTCGTATGGATTGCCAAGGATATTTTTTCTCCATTATAAACCAATCGTTGAGAAGTAAGGCGTTTCCTATGGCGTTATTGTCCAATTGGATTGCGCAGAAATGACAGGGCGTGATCAACGTCCCCGTCAATCATACTCAGAAGGAGAGGGGGGGTTTGAGAGAGAGGCAGGCTGGAGAAGCTCTTCAACAAGGCAAACAGCAGTGCTCTGCGAAAACGACTTTATCTACCCGTGTTCAACATCAACCTGGGACCGACGAGCGACGGTGAAACCTCCCCGATTCACCATTTAAATGTTCCTTTGGATTACTAGCACACTTTCGTCGAAAAACGGACGCGATTCTCAACTTGACAGCGCAGGTAAGCTTGCTGTTGTTCGACAAAAGCCATCGCTAATTTGAACATCTTTTACAAGCTCGCTGCGCTGCTTCCCAATCAGCCAGATTTCGTGTTCGCTAACTTGTTCATTGGTGATGCGGGATGTCTTTGCACAATCCAGAAGGGAATGAATGAATCCACCGGGCTAATGACCGAAAAACAACTCGGGTCAGATCGATCGCAAAGTTATGCGGTAAACAACAACCTTAAGGCAAGTCAAACGGTTCCTCCGGGGTTGAATAGTTCCAATGCTGCTGGGGGGAGCAACCAGCGTTTGTGTTGTTGAGCGGAGGAATCCTCGTCGTCGAGTGCAGTCTCATAGGCGTCAAAGTGATTTTACACAACACTGTGGACGAACCTTGGCGTCGATGCAGTGATCAAACGTCTTTTTTTTTCTTCGTGGCGAACTGTCAATTGCAGTGGATTAAGTGCCACACCAGTTCTTACTAAGTCGGGACATAATGGCCCAGCTTGTATGTAAAGAGAAACGAAACTCCCACACCAGCCGTGCTCATAGATGCACAATGATGTG